TAACATGTGGATTATAAACATAATTAACATTTAGATGAATGCATTCAAGGTTGAATACAGACATATAATATTGAGCTGTTGCATATTCATTAGGTCCAATTAATTAATGATGGATTCTGCCATTGAGTCGTGATGGAACACTTGAAAGAATCCCACAGCTGGGAACCGGTGATGGCCGTTCCAAAAGCCGAATAGTACAGCAGATACTATATGGTGTCGGAGTTAATGTCCCTCTTCCTGCCCAACATAAAACAAGTTGATTTGAGGTTGTGGATTATTAATGTGACAGCACTGCTTTACATTCTAATGAACCCTTTTTGGTTGCCTCAGAATGATTAATTCCTTCCCTGGAGCCCCATTCAGCAGATGTGTCATAATTCTGTACAGGTTAAACAAGAGGCCGCTGGCAGTGGCAAGCAATTTATTTAACAACAGACTCATATTTTCCGGAGTTCTTTTGTGATCATTAAGCCACTAATAATGGCATTCATGAACAAAATTGTGAAACTCCAGGAATAAATCGCCAGGGAGCTATTGGACAAATGTGTATCACTATCAGTGTTATTGCTGTATTATTGCTAGTCATAGGAAAGGGATGCATGTATTGTTGTACCTTAATGCATCCATTATTTTATCGGACTGATAAACCTTCTCATTAAAAATGAAAGTAGAAGACCACGTGTTCCAAGTAGATGTCATGGATGCCTCTGTGTTTATTTATAACTCAAATAAGTAAATTAGTCAGGCAGCCTGTTTTCTTCAGTGTGTTCCTATCCTACATTTCCATTTGATGTATTAACATCTGTAGCATCAAAGTGGGTTTTGCATAATATTTTATTTATGCGCAGCGTGAGAAACTCCTGTCTGTCTGTAATAAACCAGAAGGAGGGACAGATCACCAGGGCTCTGACTCATGTGGGATCTCCAGTCTGATGTCACTTTGCTATTTGTTACCAGACAAACAGTAGACTTTTTTTTTATAAAACATCATCAGTAAACTTTGAAGATTTCCCTGTTGATTATATTATCGAGGTAATTCCCCACATTAAGGTATGCATCTCTAAAACACTGCTCTTGTTTTCAATTAAAGGGCAGGGTTTTTGTGCACAATCTATCTGATCAAGTAAAATCTTTAGCAGGTGCAAGCTGTCAATTTGAGTGTTTGTTTACATGAAAAACAAACAATGTTTTTTTGTTTTCTCTCAGTTCATGACAGCTTCTTTAGAATAAAAATTGCTGCCTTTATAATTGCGCTGTAATTACTTTTTCATGAATTCATCCTGGCTTGGAATGACTCTCGGAGGCCATGGGCCCGAGCAGCACTGAGGACAGAGACCCCAGTGAGTCCCGGGACTTTCTGGGTTTCATTCTGCCTGAGCTTGGGGCATTTGGTTGTCTGAATTTCCAGTTCTACTGTCAGTGAGGAGTTTAGGTTCCTTGTAAAAACATATTGTTTTCCACTACTAGGAGTGAGCATCGGTGGGGGTGTCTGTAGGTGGGAGAGGAGAGAGAGTCTCCTAAGGAAGCAATGAAGTAAAGTTGGAATGTGGACCACTGTGCTCATGGAGATGTGGAATCAGCTATTCCATCTGTGTGGGGTTTTTAGTCTGCAGGCTTTCTTATCTTTTGCAGGTTACTTAAACACTGCACGTCTGCCCATGCATATTCCCCCAAATAAATCTCCGAGGTGTAGGTGTTCAGCTCCTGGTGTTGAGCAGTAGGAAACCCTTTAGCAGATAAATCTATGGGATGTCTTATTGGACGGCGGACATACAGTACTTTACTCTTGCATTGCCAGGCACGTTGAGTATTAAGAACTGTTAGAAAGTGGCTCGGTCTCCTGCACAAAGACAGTCACTGTCCAGAGATTGTCGGTTGTTTGTTGTATTGTTTCCCATACCAAGTGGAGTTTTGGGCTTTACTGCAGCTCTAACCCAAACTTTCTTCAAAATATGGTTCTGTACACACCACACCATAGGCCAGTTTTGTCAGGATGACAGAGCTGAGACTGGGATTGATCGGTTTGACAGTTTTCTTTACCTTCCCTTGCTCCAAGGCTAACTGTAGACTCTCTGGGATAAAGCTGAGTATTGGCAGCTCACTGAAACCTTTGCTTAAAAAATTACACTGTGTGCATGCTCTGTGGAGTCAGACATCCAGCACCATGAATTCAAATGAGCAGGAGGGAGAAATGTTACCGGGAACTGTCAAAGCTGACAGAGGAATAAAAAGATGAGAGTTTTTTTCTCATTTTTCTCCATCCATCAACCATCAAAAACTGCTGTTTCAAGCTGATGGCAAAAATCACACGCTCACAGAAAAGAACCTCAAATGGAAGAAACAGTACCTGATTTTCTGCATGTTTATAACCTGCATGATGAATGGGGAAAAAAAACAGTCTGAAAAGATGAATTGGTGTAAGTTTCTTCATGCTAATTGCACTGTATTTTAATGAGGTCTGTCACAAGCAATACCTAGGATTCTGGCTAGAGCTCTTAAAACACATTCAGATAGAGGGAGCTAAACACCACCTTGCTCCTGTTCAGCTCAGAATTGTCAAAGAACGATGGTCAGTGTATCTCTGCATTCAGGTACAGTAAAGAGCTCTCAGTGAAGTTTCTCCCCCAATCCTTTGTAGAAACAATTATACAGAATGAAGAGCTCAGAATGTTTATTTTTAAAGTATAGAAGGCTTTTGTTTGTGTAGATGCTAATAGGTCTAGTCAATGGCTGCTCTTGTACTTTATTTCCTGTGCCTTGTGTAACGGATTAATAAAAGTTGCAGAAGCATTTTTGACAGTTTTCTATCACTGACTCTTTAAGCAGACCTAATACAGCATTTTTTGTTTGCAGTTTCAATATTGATACCTTTACTCCTAGATTTATAGAGTACTTTATAATCAGAAAGGTCAGTAGTGTGGTGCGTCAAGGGTTTAATGTTGGACTTGGGTGTTCTGTTTGGGATTTTGTAGGTTCTCTCAGTTCTTGTGGGTTTTCTCAGTGTGCTTTGATTTTGTGATTTTGTCTCATTGTGATGATAAGTGCATTGGGATAGAACGGCACCCTGTCCATTGTTTATTCCCACCATGTTCTCAGTGTTTTTGGGATAGGTTCCAGATTGCCGAGACCATTCCCAGGAATAAGCAGCTTTTTGGTCATGAATGGGTTGATGGGCAAACAGGAAGTATTTGCGATTGTCTGCCACTGTGTGTGGCGCTGTTCGTGCTCAGAGTGGGTGGGTGACCAGCAGCAGATCCCAGTAGGGACAGATAGAGCTACAGGCATCACAGAGATGTTGCACACTATTAATAAACTTGTAACCATGCAAGAAATATTAGAAATGTTGCAAATAAGAGAACACCATTCAGCCCGTCTTGCTTGTTTGGTAGTTTAGTAGTTACGCGAGTATGTATTATAGTAAAATATTGAATAATGTATAGAAGGTTAGCGGATCGGGGGAGTTCATCTGCCCTCCTCATTCCCCCGTGTGCAGTAACAGGCTTTGTAACCATGAGATAAAATGGGTGGGAATTACAAAAAATAATTGGCAAGTCTAAATTTAGAAAAAGAGCATAAAATTAGTAAATTAGGAAACATCATTAAAAAAATGAGCACTAAAGAGAAGGCATCACATAGCAGCACAGTGCTATAGTTATTCATATACTCAGCCAAGAGGCAATTAAAACGGTGTACCTTTTTATTCTGTAACAGTAATGGCACATCATATAATTTAAAGAATACTGTAATTTTCTTTAATGGCAGCACAGCCTCCCAGTTAGTCCTGGCAGATCTCCACCTGCATGCACACTGTCTTGTTAGCAGTGGAAGGCTCGGTTCATTGGGGTTTTGCTCTCAGGCTCATTAAACAAACAAAGGCATCGTTAGCAGAGCAGGCAGAGACTCCGCTGCAGGGCTGGACTACATTATCCGCTCTTCATCTCGGTGCTGAGAAAGCTCAGTCACAGTGTGCAGACATAGCTTGTGGTCTTGACACTTGTGACACATGGCAAAGAGATGGAAGTGAGTGCTCTGGGAATTGGAAAGAACTGGTGCTAGTTATCCGTCTTCCTGTGGTAGTTATAGTAATTATGAAAATCCCAGACGTGAAACAGATCGTTTGTCATGCAGAGCCTGAGCTGGGCACACTCTTACCCCAGCTATTTGCTCACCTGGCCCATTTCCCCACCCTTGTAATCAATAGAAGCACAGACTGAAAAGCTGATGGTTTAATTGCAGTGAAACCTACAGATCCACAAGAAACCACGTGTCTGCCGCCAGTCCGAATGTGGAGTGGGCTTGTGTGCATGTGAGTGGGTATAGCCTTCGCAGATATACTCTATACTGTGGGTGCAGTGTCCTCCCCCCTTGAGCTAATAGTATGGAAACAGCCTCGACCTGTCTAATGAAATACTCATCATTATCTACATGTAGACAGATCTGATGCTCTGAGATTAATGTTATCACTTCATTTTGCCTGCATCACCTGCATGAATGTCAATGAATCCATCCTCTCACTTCAATAAATCTATTGACACATTGTTAGACTCAGGAAGAAAATTAAGTGATTAAAATAAATTGCTTCTCATCTTGTCTGACAACCAACTGAAATCTGCTTTGTGATACAGGTTCACGCTGGTTCCCTTCTCTCACACTTTGTGTTTGAAGCAGCCGGACCGGGAATTAACAGATTCGCATGTAAAGTGCCAGGCAGCACTGCTACACACCAGCACATTTACTGGGGCAGGAGGTGTTCCAAGTGTTGGCTAAAACCAAGAAAACAAATCCATGCTTTGTAACTTTTGTGAGGATAATGCTCAATGATGATTTACTTTATAGAAGAGTGTAAAACTTCTGCCTTGTTGGACACAACTTTTTGCAAATTAAAACTTAATCTTTCAAAAACAGCCATTTCTATCATTCATTTACAGGAACATAACCCAAACTCCCTATGACTGGAGTTCAATAATGAAAACAAAGGGTCCAGATACTATACACAGTGGTGGTTTTGCAGTGTTTTATTTACAAAAGCTGGAAAGATTCATTGTTCAACATTTTGGTCCTGTTATTGGAGTTACCACAGTTCAGACAATAAAACAGCCAATGTCAATCACCAGTTCTAAGTATCACGTTGCTAGTAAGACAATTTCAAAAAAAGTAAAAATACCTTACATTAATTAAACACATAGGAGAAAAACGCATGATAAAGGCTGAAGTATGTAAAACCCCCAAACAAAGAAAATTATAATAGAAATAAGAAATTGCACTCACATTAAGTTTCAACACTATTTTTTGTTTAATGGAATAGAACCTCACAGTGTTTTTTTTCCCCAATTGTAGTCTGTCATGACCTACTGTAACCCTGCTTTTAACCTGCATAAAATACACAACTGATAATTGCCAAAGCAGCGCATCGTCAGATGCAGGTGAATCATTAGTATATGTTAAGGATTGTTACAAGCCAAATCCCATTCAGACTGTCTGAAAACCTTTAAGTTCTTGCATGAAACATTATTCTCATCCTTGCGTTAGTTCAACAAGAATGGGTGATCTTAATGGCTAACACAGAACTGGAAGTTCCTGCCCAATTGATTTTTTTTAACCATGTCTCTGTCTGCTACACCAGGCAGTATAACTTTAGTGTTGTGTTTCATGAAATGGCCCAGAATCGCTCTGGTCTTTGCTCAGTGGCGTTTCAGGAGCTGGCTTCTGTAGATGTCCTGTTGCTGGTGTTGGGCGCTGTGAACAACAGGAAAGGAGTAAAACGCAGGCCCTCATCAGGCAGACAGGTCATTCTTTGAGGAGACATCCTCAGGCCTGTGGATGCTTTTCCTTCCTTTCTTATGTTAAACCACTGCACATCTTCAAACAGGAAAATCTACTGAACTTAATCATAATGTAGCACAGTCTGCAGACTGTTGAATACACTTTTGAATACAAATACAGCAGATAATTCGGCATCTAACCCATCGTCATCGCACTTCTTTTCCTGAAAGAAGCTGGTTCATTTTGTTTTGTACGTATAAGTTGAGCTTTTGAATAAGTAAACAAAGAAAAAACCAGTATGGCACAATTTATTAAATAAAGCAAAAAAAGAGGATTTGTAGACTTGCTCACACAATGAGGTAAAGGAGGCATTTTGACAACTTAAAGTGCATATGCAGCAACAAGCAGGAGTTGGGAAAGGAGACTGAAATAGGGGAGATGGCGCTGTGCTCAACTCAGCTCAGAACCTACAAAGTCCAAGCTGAGTCGGTGATCGAGACGAGTCGTCTGCACCCTCCTCACTGATGCCAAGCAGGTTTCAAAGTCAGGAACGGGACTACCACAGGCTTTCTAGAAGTTGTTGATTGTCTGCACGGTACAGGAGTAACAACACAACGAGAGCTATGAATAACTAAACAGACACAGGTTCAGCCTCCCAAGAAATGGTCACGAACAGAATAGCGCATGTGTTTGTATTGATTCTGACTGATGTTGCAGGAACCATAGAACCCAGAATATAGAAAGTACAGATAAAAATATGTATACTGTATCATCTTTTTACTTAGTTTCTTTTAATTAAAGGTTAAATTTCAGGTTTGTTAAAGTGAGCTGCAAAGACCAGAAAAGGAAAAGTCGATCGCTTGTGCTCAAGTCTCCAGTCTTTCTAGCACGGCGATTACACTGATGGGATAACATTCAAAGCATATACCTAAAAAGGAAATTACTGTACAAGATCACCTCTTGGCCCAGGGATAAACACATTGATGCTGGACACTGAATGTAATCAAGGGAAAAGTATAGTGTATTAACAATTGTGTATTTGTCCTTTTGCAGTTGTAAGAGGGCTTTAGCCTTCCAGTACAGCAGCTGACTGCAGCGCTCAAGTTTGTCAGCCTTGAGTGTTTCTTCAGCTGAGTAACTCTGTTCTTCTTGGCAGCTCGTGTGCTGTCCCCTGTCCTTCCGCAGTCCGACTGCGAAGCCCAGTTCTTCATTCTGCAAACACATCTGCCCAAAAGGGTGAACTCCTAGAAAGAACTCAGGGTCTCCAGAGCAACTTCGTAGCAGAACTTGTACTGCTCCTGTAATATAAAAAAACAAGCAAGACAAACTTCATGACATGTACTAACAGATTTTCATTTTCAAAACTAGCAGCAAATCACATTTTAAAAGTGGGTTATTAATATAGCTGATAAGGACTCATTTGAAAGCATTTTGTGTGCTGATATCCCATATTTGGTGGGTGGCAGCACTAGAGTAATGTCTGGGTTAGATCCTGCACTAGCTGTAGATTTGCTGACGGGTGAGGAGATAATTGCATGATCTCTGTGCTCATTAGAACATCCTCTACTTGCACACACAACTAACAGGCACAAGCCTTATGAGCTGGATGGTGGAGAAAATGAGCACATCGCAGGAGATCTCTCAGATTGCATTATTACAGTGTAGCAAGAAACAAAATGCAAGATTAATGATGCAGAAACTGAAGTTATTTTTAGTGGTTTTGTGAGGAACAGAGCAATATAAGGTTCACTGACAAGTAAATAAATATAATGCTTGAATCATGTTTATTGTTTGGGGGATTAAAAATACTGCATAGCTGTAAAGCCAATTGCTCATGTGGATTACTGCTGTTTATTTTAAATACAGTTGCGTGTAGCTTTCTCTATACTGTGTGAGCAACAAGATCACTGGAGCGGCTAAGCTTTTGAACAGATGAGATATGGTTTTAATTTGATTGAATTAGATTGAATTAAAAACTGATAAGACTTGATTTACATTCATTAAAGCTCCTACATAGACCCAGTTAGATGTTGCTCTTCCTCCCTTGGGCCTAAACTACCTCACCGTTAATATCCACATGTTCACCTCACCTCTAAAGCATTGTCTCATGTGGGGCTGGATGTAGGGGATTGCGATTTACCCTGCAGGCATAACGCTACCAGGGAAGCCAATCAGACAGGGGGCGTGTACACGTGGGAGTGGCACTTACCATGGTCTCCACCATGTTGGCCTTGTTGTTCCGCAGGGTCTTGACAGTGTGGAACACGTCCACGATGTTCTGCTGCTGGATCATCTCGCTGATACTGCAGATGGCACAGAAAGTCCCACTGCGGCCGCCACCCGTCCTGCACACAGAGGGAGGGACCAGGCACACGTTACCTTACAGCAGGCAGTGTTGCTCTTCAGCGTTGAGAAAGCTGGTCAGCTTTTTAAGCTACTATACATTTCGACTCTTAAAAATGAACAACACTGCCACAGTGCATTAAGACTCTTGTGAAGTAAGTATAATTTCACCTGATAACTGTGTACAAAAAGCAGACGATAGAGTACACCCAAAGGCCACAAGGACAGGCCTCTCTTTCCCAGGGTGCATAAATAAAACCATTAATGATGTTGACCTTTTAGGATTTAAACTAATAAAGAGAGAATTAACAGTATCAATTCTTTGACACTCTGGCACACTGAGAACACAATCAACAGGTGTCAGATCTGATTAAAACACTTAAAAAAACCAAAAAGGAGTAATCCTGCTTCAAGCATCAAACTTTTTGGTCAGACAGAACAGATTAGAAAACATGCACTAAGGTTCAATGGAGTATGCATTTTAGTTTTGGGGAAATTAAAATGTTTAGTTAATCTACACTTGCACAGGACTGCTCTCTTATGCACAGTTCAACAACTTCCTGCTCAGCACTTGTCCTTAGATATTTCATCAAGTCTGATGGTACGTTTTACGTTTAATTAAGCAATTAAGGACCTTTTGGAATAAGATCCAAAAGTAAAACAGGTCCCCAGAGTGAGGTTGAGAATCAATCTCATCCCACATGGCTGTGCAGACTGCAGACAATAAAGCTTTAATGATCTTAGGCACATAACAGCAGAGCCTAATCGAGTGCTAATTGAAAAAACAAGAAAGAAAATCTACTCCAGGATATAATGCACATGGTGCCCAAAAACCACGAGTTTGCTTTCAAATCACTTCTGATGCTGCTATTCATAAACCCTTAAACTCTTAATTGTAAATTGTTTGCTGCTGAACCCTAAAAAAAAAAAATTCTTCACTACTACTGCCACGCCCCCTGCTTTCTGCCACAGCCCTCCCCAAGTTCAGTCACCCCTACTCTTTCTGGCACACTCCACTATTCCTTCAGTTGGTTTTGCATTTACTCTCCTGTTCCTAGATCATCATTACACTCATAAACTGTCTCAGACACGAACTAACTTAAAATGCAGTACAAAAGCCCCTAGAACAGTGACTTCTAAGCCAAGTGGAGTAGAGAAATCATTTTAACTCCTAACTGCATTCATATTCTGCAGTAAAAAAAAAGCTTCATTTTCTCGTTAGAGGTAAAAAAAATGTTCTGCTTTCTTATTGATTTTATTTCATCTTTTTTTCCTCCCTTGATTCATAGTGTCTCCTTACTAAACTGGTTACTTAGGAATGCCTTCATCGGTAGACTGACCAAGATAGTCTTTCTCCTGGCACTGGAGTTCTGCAGATACACAATATGTAAATAAAATCTATCGGCTTTGCACTTTGGAAACCACTGCAATATTAAAATGAGTTCTTTCTGGAGAACTCTGCTGTTGTAAATCTTCAATGCTAGGGAGCAGAGTATCAGGGCCAGGAGCTGAGGTAACCAATCTGACAATTGATATCTTAAGCACCGTTGGTGTTGTACAGTATTCCCCTAGAATGCTCATTTATGTGTATTATATTACAGAACAGTCTGTATTTTTGTGTTAGAGAGAGAGAGCCAGAGTATGCTGCTACGCTTCGTGTGTGTCAAAATGCAGAGTTCTGCTTTTTGACAAAAAAAAATGCATGAAAAAAGACAGACCAGCAGAGTCTGAGGTAAACGGGAAAGCGATTGGATTGGAGTCACTTGTGCACAGGAAGTTTTGTTTTGCATTTTGTGCATATAATTGCACTAAGCACTAATCAGCCATGTATTATTACTGGGGCTGTTTCTTGAAATCAGATTACACTGTGCATTTTGCAGCAATGGTCTTTCTCATTTTAAGCTTCATTTATTTTAGCTGAATGCGTTCTGTGCAATTCCAGAAAGGAAAAGGCATTGCGTTGCAGAGCCGGCGAATTGTAACATCAGTCTTCGTTTTCTGAGCATTAATGAGAAGTAATGACAGAAGGCTTTATCAGTGATAATCCTACAGCAGGTGAGAATGGATATTTTTTTTAAATGCAACTCAAGGAAAAATAAGAGTTTGCTGCTTGCACTTAAACTAGCCCTTCAAGGACAATATTATGAGAACTGCCTAAGTAACTCTGCTTGTCTGCACTTGAATCTGTGCTCCGCCACGGTGCTGGGGACTTGCTGCCCAGCCTCTCTGTCTGAGCTGCACCGAGAAGGCGGCGAAGGAGCTCACAGGCAGTGCACCACGGTCCGCCCATCCCCTCCGTCGTACTGCTCCTGCCACTTGGCGAGGCGCCGGACCAGCTGCAGGATGGAGCGCTTGGACAGCGGCGTGTCGCGGTAAGCCGGCCAGCCGATGAACTGGAAGTGCTGCACCAAGCGGTAGCCGTCCTGGGGCTGCGGACACCAACACAGACGCGCACGGCTTTCGTCAACGACGGGAAACAGGCTCCAGTGTGCCGAGTGCCGTCTCGTCACAGTGCCCCACGGAACACACTTACGCCTCCGAGATCAAATACTTGCCAAATAGGAACAAGTTTTTTTTTCCTATTGAGAAGCATGGGAAAGTATCTGTTCACTTTGCTCTATCTGAAATGGACAACACCCCCAGTGTGCTGGCGCCTCTCATCGCCCATCTCAGTAAACACAGAAGCTCAATGCTGTGTGTGCTTGCTCTGTATCAAATGGAGTGAAGTCCCCCTGTTGCAGTGCCCCTTCCAGAATGCCAGCCCCACTCATCACGGCTTGCGTTAAGTGCTTTAATTAGAGGGTAGTGTGGCGGATGCACATGCTAGACGAGGAAGGCTGAAGTGCATGGCCTGACCCCTGCGGCAGCATGAAGCACAGCCCCACTAACCTGACTGCACAGCATTAACACCCCTCCATAAGCAGGCAGGAAAGCGACTGTTATGACACTTCCCTGGAATAACCTTTAAAAGCAATTTAGTCCTCGAGGCTAAAGGACGACACAATGACAGCCCTCAGAATCAATACAGAACTTTTTTTTCCCCCCCATTTTAAAAGGCAATCATTTTGAAAGTAGTCTGAAATGAGTTCTGTATCTTCTTTTTAAACTTCATGCATTTATTTTTACTGTCCTCTTTTTTTCCTCCCCTAGCAATGGTAAACAAGGCTCATTGTGATGCCCTCTGAGCTGGTGTTCACTAGGAAATAAAAAGAAGAACACAAGGTTACAAATGAGGAGGCAAGTGGACTGGCCTTGCTCATTTTGTTACTAGTAATTGATCGACATTTTACATCTAGACATTTTTCTTAACCCACAGCTTCAAGCCTGGGCAGTTTGTTCCCTACTCCTACAACCCTTTGTGCAAAGATGCATTTGGGGTTTTCAGGCCAGTTAATTTGGACTCTGGAGACGTGAGTGCAGAGACATGGAGCCATAAAGCTGTTCTCAAACTGACATATCTCGACAGAGCAGTGGGTCACTTTCTCTTGATGTTCTGGGGTGTCATTTACATTCTGAAAGCCTTTGTCTGGTAGACAACTGTCTGATTGCATTTTTTTTCTTTTCAGCAGAACAAAGTGGTAGGCTTTTGCAAATGCAGTAAAAACAAAACGAACAAAGCTCCGTGTTTTACATTACAATGCTGTTGCTGAAACTGAAATGAAAATGAAAAAAATCTTTCATAGGTCTTGAATAAAAAAACCCTTATGAGACAATCTAAACAAGCAACCTTTCAAGTTCATCTTCTGATAATGATTTTTTTTTCCTAGAGCATTCTTAGTACAACAACAAAGGAAAACTTGTTTTTTTTTTACAGGCAGCCATGGTGCAGCATGACACATTTAAGCATCACTTAAGAACCCAGCAGACACATACCCAGTTCGGCTTTCTAGCAGAGATCTTAGATCTTGTCGGGGTTTTCCTTAAATAAGCAGGACTAGGACTAGAGACAGAGATATAGGGGTTAAACGCCAGAGGCAGCAGAAGATGGCTGGTGTTTTACATGGGCCTGTTTCACGCGCTCATCACTACGCTGATGGACCGATTTCATGGTACATTGGTGAGCCCACAGCATTTAACTCCCCTCCAGAGCACCTCCCCAGCGCGGTGGGGGGAAATCTGGCTTGTCAACACCAGTTAGGGAGAGAGGCTGGAGACAGCTGTGTAGGCAAGATACTTTCTGAGGTCCTCCACACTTTTAAAAGGTTTAGCACAAGGCCCTGAGCACAAACACTCATCACTTTGGTTTTTTTTTCCACTTGCTCTGTCCATTTCACTCAGCATTTCCCAGCTGGGAATGCCTGCACCGTTTAATGACCCTACCTGGTCTGGTTTTTGCCAGACCTGAACTCTGCTGTAGGAAATAGCTCTGTTCCAGGTCAGCATACAGCTGTAAAATCTGTGTTATAGACATTCATCATTTTCACACACTCTTCTCTGTTCCAGCCAGACACCGAGCTGGCTTCTGCACAGATAAAGGGGGCCAGAACCAGGTACTGGTCTTCTAATAATCTAACCAACACCAGATCATTTCTTTTGCATAGTAAACTGCTTTATGAACGTGCTCAGAAGATTCCTCTGTCCTACATTTTTTAAATGAGGAAGGGTTTAATATACTGTGTAATATACAGAGCAACTTAAAAGCAGTTCCGCATGCTTACTGGAGGGAGGTCTCCAAGGCCCAGTTTACAACAGGAGTGTTCTCGTGCATGCGTGCGTGGGGTTGGGATGCACGAGTTATTGACTGGATGTGTTGTGTGTCACAGCTACCCAGCCACTCAGAAAGCAGCAGGGATCTGCAGTTACTTACCCGGGCCATGTTGCAGATCCTGAAGATCCTGTTGATGACGTCGTCGTCAATGTCCGCAGAGATGAACTCGACCTGGACAGGGCCGTAGCAGCAGGAGCTCTTCTCTGGCCAGTACTGCATGCACAGCTGTAGAGAGCCAAACATTGCAGCGCCGTTGTCAGGGCAACCCGACCACGCACACCTGCGTTCACACGGCTGCCCGACCTTGGTCCACAAACCCCGAGAGGCGCGGCGCTATGTCAGCACAGGATACGCAGTGCTTACCAACTGTAACTTCTGATCCAATTTTTTGTTGTTTTAATCCAATGGAATATAATTGCAATCATTTATTTTGGAAAACGTTAACGTTAATTCCACGGTTGGTACAAAAATAAAATGGAGAAACAAAGTTTGGGCCATAGAGCCTTCCTCGGTGAAGAAGGCTCCGCAGCTGGAATGATGTTTCTCCTTGTGAGCCAACACACAGCTCCCCACGTGAACATAATTTATTTTGGCAGCAAATAAACCTCCAGAATCGCGAGTCTGAAAAACAAAACAATTGTGATTCTAAATGAAAAATAACAAAATGGACTTAATTGAGAGCCGTTACTGAAAATCACGGAAAAGTACTCTTTAGGGTAAAATCCTGGATGTGATTTTTTTTTTAAGCAAATCATGTTCAACAACCTCAAATGAAAAGAGCATTGTACTGATGTGAATTAGGCTTTTGTAATTTGGCAGCTATTTCAGGGCTTTCGTAGGCTTGTTTGATCTAAAACTGCAGACAAAGAGAGGAGCAATAATTCTAATCCGCCGGGGACATGGAATGAAGAATGAAGGAGATGTAAAAGTAGATAATCCCAAGGAAGACGCAGGCTGTGAGCCCCCCCCAGCTCAGGCTGAAGTGAAGCCCACCCCCTGGCTGCTCTGTGGGTCGCACCTGGGCAGCATCCATCTCATTGAGCATCACGATGGAGGAGCAGTTGTAGTCGAACACCAGCCTCCAGAAATCGGCCACCGTGTTGGGCAGGGGGTGCTGCGTGACAATGAAGGCGGCGGGCTGTTTGTGACTCTGGGAATGAAGGAGAGAGCAGTTCACCGCCCTGCGTGTTACAGTACAAGCAACATAAAACGACACGTGAAATACACTCCTCGACGGAAAAACGGGACAGGCACCAAAACTGGTGGAGAAGTGCCCTTGTGTTTTATCAGATAGACAGACAATTCAGATGTAGCCCAGTAGCTGCAGGATGTTCATGATGGTTGACGTGTTTCTTTTTATACATTATGTATATTGCTTATGTGTGCGTGCGCACGTAATTTTCCAAATAAAAACTTCCCTGCAATGTCTCCACCCGCTCCGCTGTCGGAGAAGAGTGCATGAATCTACCCCTCCCCAAGCTCCAGTCTGATCAGGCAGACGCTTTGACACTTTGACACAGGTGGGCCTTGTGCTGTATATTTTACTGCACCGGTTCACCAGGGGTCTCCAGAGCTGTGTTCTGGTTCTCACGTCAAAGAGCTGGTACAGCGAGACAAGCTTACTGCAGAGGCACGTCTGTACCACGAGACCCGCAGCAGAGCGGCCTCTGCGACAGGCTGCTCGACCGCCCTGTCGAAACTGCTCCCGGCTCACGTCAAGGTCTGCGTGATGCAGCCGTTTCGCTACTGGTGACCGGAGGACTCACGAGCCCTGCAGGGTCTGGCGCCCGCGAGCCGACCCGACCCGATCCTTACGTCCATGAGCGCGGCGTTGATGTAGTTGCTGGACTCCCCGTCGACGGAGATGAGGAAGGGCAGGCAGCGGTCCAGGGGCAGGACGTCCAGGCTGCGGTTCTTGTCGTGGTTGCGGGGCAGCAGCCCCACGCTGCAGTCCTCGGGGCGCACGCGCGGGGTCACGATGTTCAGGGTCTGCGGGCAGCAGGGGAGGGAAGGCCATGCTATATCACTGAAAGGATTTACCCCACCCCCACCCTCCCAGGTCAGTTAGAACAATATTTGTCATCCATTCACTCTCGCGGTCATTTTCTTGCCAGATCAAATGGAGGTTTTGGTGACCCAGAGGGGGCGATGGCCCTCTCCCTCTGCAGTTAGAATGCGAGAGGAATTACAGCAGACAGAGATCAACAAGCTTCCTGGTTTGATCCAGGGAATGCTGCAGAAATTTGTGAACTGCAGAGTGGACCCAGGGAAGCAGGGCCAGCAGGTCCGCTGCTCAGCAGAGCTTCTCCTACCTGGAACTCATCCTTGATTTGACTGGAGTTGGTCTGGGGGTCCAGCCTGCTGATGTTGTAGTATATGGCTCTGAACTCACAGACGGGGATAGCAGTGTTTCCACACAGACAGGCCTCCAGAATGGCATCGTGGACAAATACATACTGTTCCTGCAAAAACCAAAGCACAGCCACTCTGTAGCCACTCAATATGATTGGAGAGTTTCATCTAGCCGTTTACTTGTTTTACTTGCGTTTTTGAAACGGGGCTGGGCAGCTGGGTCCAGATCTCCAACAGCACAGATACACTGTTGAGTAAAATCAATTCTGCAGATTCCTGAATTACACAATTATTGAACCCTTTTAATATCACCCAAAAGTGCATGGATGTAACACGTCTATGTCCTGCAATGCCCACTCCACAAGGAGACATCTGCCCTGCCCTGCCCTGCCCTGTGAGGAACTGCGAATGCGGGGTTCACTTATTTCACCCCTTCTGTACAGCTTCACAGAATTCACAGAATGTGAAGATAAATAAAATTATTGTCAGGCAGGTTTTCATCACATCCTTTAGTGAAATATTACCATTTAGTTGCAATATATATATAATTACATTAAACACAAAATGACCTGTGATAAGGCTTCCATCTCTGCATAGAAATAACTTGATGTTTTAGATGACAGAGGCTAAAGGCAGAAAAAAAGCTATCACAAAATGCATTCTATAATGCAGGTAACTGGCGTGATATAATCTCAAAAGCTGGCCATCATGCTGAAATAGATTTTCACATATTTCTCCTAACAATGCCGTAGGCTTAAGGTTTTGAATGTTAATTGCAGCTCTTTGATCCGCAGTGAATTAAACCCATCTAACACTGACCTCCCCTATCCATTACCTTCACTGTGCTCTTCTGTATTTTAAAAGCCTTTTAAAGGATTAATTGCTTTTGGTTGTTTTGCAAAGGATTATTTTTGTAACTGTGCATCTGCCCGAGACACAGTGCCCTATAACTCAACAACCTCAATGCAGAGTACAGCGCTGCCTCTGTTTTGAGATCTCTTTTCCTGTGTAGTGCAGATCAGGGTCACACTCTGACGCATACTGTATTGTGATTTTGAATGCAAAACCTTACTTCCTTTTCATGCAGACAAGAAACATATATACACATTATTTCCAGCCCTTTAGGAATTAAACACTGTTACAAGCTCATTTACCAATGTCACCTCTTAAATCTTTTCACTACTTGAGGAGCCGTTCCATCTGCATGGCAGTGTGAGGTTGCAGCAACCATCACTAGAGCGTCAGTCTTCCTGGCAGATTCACTGTTGCTGTGTCACTCCCAGGCACAGGAGGGTAAAATAGATTCCCACAGGCACGAGAGCACCCCAAAGAAAACATGCTTATAAATGCCACTGGAATTTGACTACCCAGCCCTTGCTCTTAATTTGGGCTGAGCAGGCACGCGTGTGTGTTGCTGACTGCTGTGAACTGTCACGCTGTGTGAATTTCATTGCTGAGCCGCGGACAGAACGGAGGGCAGCCGCGAGGCGCTAACAAGGAGCTCCGTCTGACACACTGCCGGAGCTGTGAGGCTCCAGAAAGGCAGGAGACTGTGTGTTATTGGCTCTCAAGAGCCCCACCAATTGTGGTGGTGAAATTCTGATTTAAATATCCTGAAAGAATGTTTATTTAGATTTCATTCCATTCATACCTCTAGTTCATGCAACAGAACCAGAAGTAATAACAGTATAATAAAGAATAACAAAATAGTAGCAAAAAATATATATTTTCTCTTTGCTGCTTTTCAAACTTAAAATGCACAACAGCTGCGCTCCTCTGATGCAGTCTGTCTTAGCCTCAAGAAACCTTCAGGTTCTGAATGACCAGCAGCTCAGGTTTCCTTGTGCGCGAGAGCTGTGTGTGGGACAGCCCACGCCCAGCTCACCCACCTCGGTCTGGACCATGTTGACCCTCTGCGACCTCAGCTCGCGGATGCAGTTGAAAATGTCCACCACCCCTTCGTTCTCGGCCATGTCTAGCATAATGTCAACTGCGATGAAGCAGCCTGTCCTGCCGGCTCCGGCGCTGGGAACAGAAGATCTGGGAGTCAGGAATGACCGAGAGGAATCCGCCAGTCACAAGTCAGTGGCTCACAGCAAGCTGCGTGCTTGCGGTCTGACTCGGGGACTGTGTGTTACTGCCCCTCGAAATGTCAGAAACGTCAGGGCGTAGGACGAAGCTCAGAGGTGCGAGATGAGGAATGGAGAACAGCATCTCCACCCACATTCACCAAGTCCACGGTTTTCCAGATACCTCTGCTTTCATTTATGAATACTTGTATAGACCCCTCTTAAAAGAGGGAGAACATCTGTGAAATAATACTGTCCTATTAAAGGGTAAAGATCAGAGACCTACAGTATGTAATCAGTCTTTGACTTGAGGGTTTACGAACTCAGATATTTCGTCTGAATGGAAGAAAAGGAACAACTGTCTGCAGCTCTAATTTGCTTATGAAAACCCCTCCACCTTACTCCCCCCATCCACCCAAAACAAAAAGTTTTGATTTTGATTAAAACTGACATCTAATCGCCTTTTCCTGCAATTCGTCTCCCATCTCCAGCGCAGCTGGACCCTTCCGCAGGGCTCTCCAGCCTGGCCCCCCGCCCCCCCCCTACCTGCAGTGCGCCACGATGGGGCCGGCGCCAGGCGGGTTGAGGAACTTGACCTGCCGCACGAAGCCCAGCAGGCCGGTGGCGTAGCAGGGCACTCCGTGGTCCGGCCAGCTGGTGAAGTGGAACTGGCGGATCTCTCGGATTTCATGGTGCCCCTTCTGGAAAGGGAGGGGAAAATGTGGTCGTGAAGAAGGGGCAGTCGGCACGATCCAGCAGGATTCACCTGCTTATCGCCCAGGAAAAACGCGCTCGACTTGTTAGAAATTGTTAGAAAATGTAATCAATATCGGAAGTCAGTAATACACATCATAAAGGTTTCAACAGAGTGGAAAACATCCCTCCATTTTCAAACAGGTGCAATGACAATTATCTGTTTCCTTTATGATACTGCCTGAAAGCGGCATACGGACTCTGTGTGTAAACTACCTTTTGAGCACGTCAGGAATAAGACTGTAAAGCAGCCGCTTGGAGAAGTGCCACCATTAACTGAGAGCTTCTCCCAGTGCTACCAGCCACTTCACTCTCTCACAGTAACTCCTTAATTGCAATTTGGGGTTCTGAAATGTAATCCCTCCTGTCTCTGCTGATATGCCAAGGAACTGTAAAATAATTTCCTACAGATTTATGGTTTTGTGTGGATGACAGTACAGTAACTGAGAGCTGTATGATTGAGTAAAGTGCTTGTTCAGCTGGAGAAGTATTTCTGCTTATCTTTTGGAACAAATTCACTACAGATGAAATGCAACATCCCTCTAGCTGTAAATCCTTGTACCTGAGCACTCTTTAATATTACTTTTGGGTCCATGTTTTATTTTTCAATGTATGGATATGTCCACACAGCACACTCCAGAGGTTACGCCTCCCCAATTCCTCAGTTTCGAATGCTATAACCGAGTCGATCTGTTGTGCTGTATAATGGGGGTTTCAGATTTAATTAGACCTCATGCAGCTGCTGTGCAATGAGGTGAAGGGTCAGGAGAGCGGTGCAGAATTGGAGAAAACACCTAATTTACAGGATATGTGGACTCTTGAGACAAAATGGAAATCGTTAATGTGTTGGGAGTGAGTCACCCGTGTTCATAATTAATAGATTGTAGGATGCACCCTAATTAAATGTTATATATAGAAATAAATACCTACAGTAAAACTCCAACTTAGCCAAATGAAATGAAATTTAATTTCCAAATGAAATATGATATTTGAAAATAACACCTTCTGTGATATCTTTTTACCTTTGTTTTTTCTTACATATCCCTATATGACCACTCACTACAGTTCTGACGTGGGTTAGAAAACCAGCTCATTGGAGCGGAAGACACATAACGTTCAAGTAGCTATGACAAGAAAAATGACTGGTTTCTTTCACTGTCATCCAGAATGATACCTGTGTTTATGATCTGTAAGCCCATTAAGAGAACTTCTCAATTCAGATGTTTAAATGTTTTATGATCATTGCAAAACATCATGCATGGCACAGAAGGCATTACTGTACATATGAATCACTTTCTTTAAGGCTCCAAGAGTGCACGCCACTGTACTGCATCTTCATCTTGCACAGTAACCAATGAGTGGAAATGTTCCTTCTCCCTCGTCCCTGGACCTGGTCTGTACCCTGCCGCCTGCTCAACACACAGGATCTTACCTTCTGCACAGTGAAGGTTCGAATCACATACTCTGCCAGGGGCTCAGTCTCGATGAGAGCCACTTTAATATCACCATAGACCTCTGTGTCATCTGGCCAGTATCTGACACACTTGACCTGTGCAGGAGAGATGAATGTATACTTCTAGAGGATATCTGACAAGTACAACTGGTTATTGACAAGACAAAATCTGATTTCTGTAACAAAGGTAGGCACACTTAGTGCTTTAATTTGTATATTAGATAGGGATGTTTATGAATAAACCTTCTAAATAGTGGGTCCATGCAGTTATCTGAACTGTATCACATGCACATCAATTCCATGGCTGGTTTCTGCGAACTCAGAGGAGTAAGTCCCAGCATTCCTTGAACAGCCGATCACACAGCCCCAGGCAGCTCTCGTCCACAGTGGGGGATGCCCCCATTGAGCTGCCCCCATAAAGCCAACCTACCCTGCCGACCTCCACCAGGTTAGTCACCATGACAATGCTGCTGGAGTTCTCCTGCCAAATCATCCTCCAGAAGTCTCTCACAGTTTCCTGCATGGGGCCTTAAAGAGCAAAAGAGGAAACGGTGTGAAACAGAAATGTGTTCTCATACAGAGCCCTGCATACCTAAGCATCTCGGAACAGTCTCCATCAATACAAAACAAGGTATGTGCAAGCACAAACCCAGGTGCAGTTAGTTACATCTAGACGGCACATCTAAAAAGTATTAAATCTACTTTTAAAACAGCCTGGTGTCCTGGAGTTTCTGATTACAACTCTCTCAGTGCTGTTCTGAGAGGCGTCGCCGTGCTCTTCCAGGTTTGTGGTTCGGATGCAGGAGAACCACGTTGGGATCGTGCGATATCTGACACGGAGCCCAGCGCTGCTCCACTGAGTCATAAATGACCCCCCGCCGGACAGAGCCTACAGCTCTCTAAGTGAAACCTGGTCTGGTAACAGGGCTTCCCTGCGGCTGCAATATCATGCCTCTGATTGCTTTCTTTTCCCTGCCCCTCCCTCCCCTTTTCCATTTACCTTGTGTAGCGATGTAATGTCTTGGTCTGTGATAACCCTAAAAGGAAAAGCAACAAGAGAACAGAAACACTGACGTGAAACTACTTCCTGATCATTAGTCTTTGTCCTAAAAGGCAGATGTTGTCTTTGACCTGCCTACATAAAAGTGGTTTACAGTAAACTTGTTTATTTCTTCTATTCTGCCTTCGAAAAACCAGAGGGTTATTTAATGTATTGTTTTTAGGAAAGCCATGAACAGACAACAGCACCTCACGCAAAGAGAGAAACATTCTCAAGAGGAAAATGGACAATGGATCAAACTGCTTAGGCAAACTGTCTCAAGTTTTTCTCTTGTATCCCGACACTGAAGCAGCATTCCTGTCGCCTAGAAAGGAGCTGCTGTGTTTTGAGTGTCTTTGATCTGTCAAGGCACTGCAGTCCTGCTCTCACACTAGTGTACGATACTCTCCTTTTGAGTCACAGTGCTGTAGCTTCAGTGAAAAGCCCATGGAAAGACCAGGCGTCCCGAGAAGGGACACTGGCTCCTGGAAACAGAGGACTGGCTGGAGGGGCATGCTCACATCAATGTAGTTGGCGTTGATGTAATCCGAGTGCAGGTCTCCGTCCAACAGCTGCAGCCTGACACGAGTGTGGTCATCTGAAACACAGAGAGGGACAGACCTTCAGATCCCGACACAAGCAGCACCCCTGGTTCCATGAGTCTTCCATGAAGCTTTCTGTGAGCTAGTTTCCACACACTAAACAAGCATGGGTCTGGTGTAATTTCATACATGAACAGTCATCACAGATTGCCAGGAGCTATGTAAGTATATAACACACTTAGTCTTAATGCTTGATTGAATTAATGGCATTTGCAGTCACGTTCCTCTTCAACGAGTGTATGAGCCATTAGGCTCAATACACACAAACTAATACACAGTCCCCTCTCCTCTCCTCTCCCAGTAATTGAGTATGTTATTTGGGGCTGTAAAGTGGAAGGGACCTGGTAATGAGGTAATGTTTAAAAGGATCAATCTTCCACACTCTGCCAGCGGGTGACATTTCCTTTCATCTTTCTGAAATGCAAAGGCATGGCTGCCGCCCTCCTAGTTAGATGAGATGTGCTCACTAAAGCCCAACCATGATTCTGCTCAGCAGAGTTACTTCATTTTTCTCACTGAACTGTTACACTCAACTAACAGACTTCCATGCTTCCTATTAATTCACTCATTAAGACGCTTTGAAACAAATCCCTTTCTTCAGAGGGCTTTTCAACACTGTCCTATCCTCAGAGCTTTGTTAAAAGCAGTTAATGAAAGCCAAAAGAAATTAATTTGGGAATACTTTAGATTAGGGGCTGCAAATTCCATCTATAAATGGAATATAAAGTCTTCATAAACTTAATATCATATCATTAATAAATTGTTAATAATCTGATAGAAATCGGTGCCTCCTCCTGGTTAGTTACAAGTTAATTAAGATCCCTTTGCTCTCAAACAGGAATGCATTATTAATGGAAATTTGAACGTACTGTAAATATCTTTTGTCTGTTACACATTTAGAAAACAGCATTCGGAACCCCTAAACGAAAGCATATATCGTAAATGGTTACCTAGCCTGCTGGTTCTACTGCACTCAAACACACTCACGCCCATCCATCGTGACTCCCGATCCCAGACACTTCTGCCAGTGTTTGGCAGCTCCAGGCATTGTGAAGAGCTGGTCAGGGGAGGAAGCTTGCGCTTCGAAACAGAGCTAATCTATTGTCAACTTCCTGTGCCTCTTGCATCAGCCCCAGCCTCTTCGCCTCGGTCTCCTGGAGCCCCGCGCCCCTTTGTCAGGTGTGGGGGTGTGGCTGAGAACTCGAACGGGCTTTTTCTGCTGTGCCCTGAATTCTGACTGGGAGATCGAGGCACTGACCCTCGTGAGCAGTGCCCCCCAGGCATGGGCAGGCATCGCTTTGGGAAGTAAAAGCACTACGTTTCTCTTCTTCGCCGAAGAGCAGCTCCAGGCCGATCATCACAGTGAGGTGCGATGGTCTGAGTAAAGCATCCCTTACCTGGCTCCAGCCCTTCTGACAAGGCCCTTGGAATGCTTTCTGGCTGCTGAGGCCCCAGCTCTCGGAGCTCAGAGAGTCCTCCACCCCATCCCCTGCACTCAGCAGTAAGAATGCACAGGCAGCCCTGCTCTGGATCAAAGCCTGGCTTACAAAGATGTAATTTCTCCTGTATTTAACTGTTTTGGCTTCTTTTCTAACTCCTATTGAATTTCCGTAACTGTTTAAGACAGGTGGTGTACCAGAACAGCCGACTGCGCCAACCTCCACAATTAAGTCCCAAGTGAATTCTTCTTGGTGGAAACTAGTGATTACCTGGCCATGATCATCCAACATTAAGAACTCGAGAGCTTCTCCACCTGATGTAGTTTCTGTCATGGAGACCAGCAGGCTCTTTGACAGTTTAATTCCACGGGTCTTCACTTCAGTTAACTAATTGAACTTAACTTCAGTAAAAAGTCAAGTCACCTGTTTTGAGAACAGTTTCTATAACATGCAGAACTCTCCTGGGGGATTGGAGCTGCCTGTCCCAAATCAAGTTTTCCAGTCCTGAGCCTGGGAGTTTCAAACAGAGGTCACCATGCATGGCTGCTGTTTATCTCACAGGGAGTCAGAACTTCAGCTCACAGATATTGCAGTGCCATCTTGTATGAAAGACATTTCCAGCTGTACGTTCATGTAAATGCTGGCTAGAGGACCCTTTTACAGCCCAGAAGAAATTAACTACACTACAGGGCTCTCACAATTCCCCTGCACATTGCTGTGCACATGTACTTTCAAAGGAGATAAGGAGGCTCTTAGGATCTTCCAGGTGCTTCAGAAGGAAGACGAAAACCTAAAGTGACAGGCGCTTTGTACGACAGCTACAACAGAAATAACTTATAAATAAATCCAGAGGAGAGGTTTAAACATCCAGTGCACTGCCTGCAGCTCTGGAATCTGCAGCTGATTCCTGTTCTTCTGATGTGGTAGTGTTGGCCAATAATGTTGCTTATTTTGGTAGCAGAGTCTGCTGAATTATGAATGACCATATGGGAGGTTTTGTGTTTACACAGAGTGCAAAAACACTCCAGGAATGCAATGGGACAGATGTCTCTAAATCCACAATACATCAGCTGTTTTTATCTCCCTTCCTTCCTTCATAACGTCAAAAATACAGATCACAGAGTCAGGTAGCAGAGGGCAGGATGGTCAGCGCTCTTATAGTATAGCTCTGGGGTATCTTCTGTGTTCTCCTGGTGTCCTTATGGCCTTTCTCCAGGTACTCTGGTTTCCTCCCATCTTCTAATGACCTGCTGCCTGCTTAACGTGTGTCTGTCCGTTGTCTCTGTGTGTGTTACACCATGGACAGGCGTCCCTATCCAGTGTGTAGGCCTGCCTTGACCCCTGTGCTTCTGAATGGACTCTGTTCAATGGTACTGATTTGCCTGGTCACCACTAGGTGATTTTTTTTCGTTCCAATAACAGTCAACACTTCCATCTCCATGTGGCAGGAACATTATCTTGTAACAGAGGGACTTGAACAAGATAAAACTTCCATACGAGCCCCCTGACCCCACCCCCCAGCCAGGCGTCAGGCGGCTGTGCTCACAGGCGATGATGTTGCCATATCTGTTCTTGTTGTGGTTCTCATCTTTCTTTGCTGTGTCCCAGGGGGCCGTCTGTCCCTCGGCGAGGCCCTGCGGAGCCAAAACAGAGAGTCTAAAGCTCCTTCAGCTGAAGAAGACACATGCAGGACAGCCCCTGTAAGAGAACCACTGTGATTTCTGCAATCTAAGTGCTAAACAAGACAAACACAAAACCATTTGCAGTAGGTCAGCACATGATAGAAGGTATTATGTCAACACTGCACACTGGGAGGCTAAATGACTAATTCAACAAAATGTTAAGTGCAGGAGAATCACAGGCACACCCACCGAGAACATGCTGAGCCACATCCCTTCCTCATACATCCAACAGGCTTTCTGGTCAACATCCTTGCAGCTCAGGTTACTGGTTACTGCCTCTCCTTTGATGATTGACATCTCCAGCTATTTTCAGCAGCACACCTGCACTCACCAATACTAAGGCATTCGGCAATGTGCAGTTTTAATGCAAAGAAGAACTGCCTAGACATACTGTAAGGTAGACATGAGACACTGTCCAAGAGCCACAAGGCAAGCTCTGTCATGTTCTAAGACCACACAGCCCAACACTGAGGAACTGGGAAACAGACCCACTCCCTAAAGGCCAGTCCTGGGGAACCCCAGTCCTTCAACAGTTACGTGTGCCTTCAGATCAGCTTAATCCTGACCACCTGAAAGAGCTGCTGTTATAAGTCAGAGAGAGCCGGGCTGCTCGTCCCCAGGACTGGAGCTGGAGACTGCTGCAATGGCAGAACTACGTTCTATATTCACTACGTTAAGACAGCTGACACTATTGAAGTGTCACTCTTTTATGAATTGGTTTAGTATGCCTGCTACTCTAATTGTACAAGTTCAGAAGAAGAAAAAGCAGGGCACATCTGTCAGCGGTGTCTACTTGAACCTTAGTTGTCCTTTAAAGAATCCTGGATTCATTGCCAATACTACATTCACAGATCCCAATCCAGCAAGAGGGTCTCTGATCTTTTACACAGCATCTACTTCTGACCAGAAATCTCTAAAGTGATATTCAAGCTGTACCCAGAGAAGACTTCAACTTCTGATCATTAATAAGGTTGATTTGATGCAAAAAGTCTGATTTAAAACTGATTTACTCCACATTTGCAGATATTTTAAATCCTTAGCAAGTTTTTTCTATGAATAAATAAAGGCAGATGCGTTCGTGAAGAAAGACAGATGGACAGAACGGTATTTGCCGACAAAAAAATCGCAGAGCTACAGCACAATAGGCTGATCGATACTTGGACTGACAGATGCCAAGATGATAAATCGGCCAACCAACCAAAGCTTATTCTAAGCTCTGAAAAGGCTGACAGTCTTGCAGCTGGTACAGCAGGCTGGTGAAATCTCTAGCTCTTAAGAGCTTAGGCCCAGGAGGATATTCAATCATCCTGGTGCAGAAATCTGGAGCTGAAGAAAGGGCTCCTGCTTTCTCCTGACCCTGCTGTAGTAGAGGAGTGCAGGCACAGTATGCGCTTTAATTGGTATGCTGGAGAGTAAAGAAGTTTAAGCCCTGCAAAGTCAAAGAATGTAAGAAAAAACAATCCTATATCATCCTCTTCCTTTTAACTGTTTAATTTATTAAAGAGGTTAACTGTCCCAGGCTTAGCACGGTGCCGAGCACGCAGTCACCATGTGTGTGGGCAGCCTGTAAATGATCATGAAAGAAAAGAGGGATAAATAAAAGCCAGAATGAGGAAAGGAGTTTGTGGAAGCAGATCTTATAGCAGCAGGCATGCTGTGAGCTGAAAGGAAGCATGAGAACATAATGATCAAAGGAAGAAGATGGAGGAAACCTTAAATACAAATGACTCATTGTGTATCCCCCCTAGATCAAAAAGTGGTGCCTATTCTGTAGGTTGGCTAATGAAATGCCTCTGGTTAGTGTTGTGTTTTGGAATTTTCTCTTTGTAATGCTGAAGAACAGCGGATGTTTGTTTTCTTCCACAGTGCTGTGTCTGCATGTACAATACATCAATACAGAATAGTGGGCTGCAGAAGGCAGCCTGAAGGACATTAGATGTTCTTCCCAAATGAACAAGCTTTGTTGCATAATTGCTATTTGACCATTAGTCTTCTTTTAAGGATTCCCTGGCTACTCGTTACTCGTCATGGCACATGGCACTGGCTGGACATGGAAATGGCAGGAGCTGCTGACAAAGTGCTGCTCAACACGACTTTGATTATGTCTCCACCAGGGGATTCGCCCACTCGGCAAGCGGCATCAAACTTGGGTCTTGTCAACATTTCCACTATCGATACCCTCAGAAAGGAGAAACGTTTACTTATCGCTTCCACTACGGAACGAGACAGGAAAAGACGGAGGCGCCATGTGCAATTAGGCTCCTCAAACTCCCAAGTCATCAGAATCGAAAGGTTGAAGTGGAAAAAGCTTTAAATTCAAAAAGGAAAACAAAAAGCCCTTAACAGAATCTCTTTCATCTCAAAGCCGTTTTTTTTTTGTTAGCAATTAATAATCAGTGGAAAAACGGAGAAAACAAGCCGCCCACTCGGAGCCCCAGCGTCGCTCCCGGGCCCAGCGAGGATGAAGCAGGAGGAGGCTCTCCCCTGGGAGGAAGAGGAGCAGCAGAAGCTCTCCCACACCGCACGCGGCCTGTGGATCGAACCTGCCGCGAGTGACTGATGGAGAGCAGCGCTGATTAAGCACGTTTAAAGGTGGACGGGTGGGAAGGTGTCCTCTATGGGACAGAGGGCAGCACCCAGACGGAAGAGTCTTCTATGGCATTTCGTCTCCCTGGCAACCGCACCGTGTGCGCACACGCGCACGCAAGGATCAGCGTTAAGACCAGAGAGCGTCACAGCCTTCTGGAGAAGTTAGCCATACTGTACATCCATGCTAATTACTCCAGCTGCTCATGTAAGCCCAGCAGGGCACTATTCTCCCTTCTCCACGTCGAGCAAAAGAAATCCAGAATGCATTGATTCTGAAAGTCTGGAGATTGAGATCAGTGCACTTCATTCCCGCACTAAAATAAACACAAGACCAGAGCAGCAGAAAAACCTGAACATGGTGAAAATCCGATCTGGCACAAAGTAATGCACTTCAGCAACTGAAAGACAAAGGAAGGGTCTCAACAAAGTACAAGATGCAGGAGTGATGGGAGTTATCTGCATGTGGTACATACTGTTTTGCCACAGCCATATCCACAGACTGGTAGCCTCCACCCATTCCCCAGCTATTACTGAACCCCCCAGAGCGTGTAAGCATCTAAATTTCAGATGTACTGGCAGGGGAATGGGTCATGCCATAAGCAAATAGCGTGTCAGCTGCAAGCTTGGATGGGGTGCAGTGCGGCCCCCATGTGCAGGATAGCAGTGGAGGCTCCAGGCCTCTCTGCTCCTACTCAACAGGTGTGAGCAGAAAGGCTCAGTCCTGGCGCTGTCACTGAGCACCGGGGCTGGGGCTGGCATTGCTAATAGATGTAGTTTAAAACTGCACTTTACAGAGGAGGAGGAGGAGGAGAGATACAAATATACTGTTTTCCTATGTGTGTGGAACTCACTCTCTGCGTTTCTAGATCCGTCTCCCTTGTGTGCCCCGTGACTCTCTCTGCCTCTCCCACCTGTCCTCGCTCAGCCACTCTTTCAGACCTGGCTGTGAATTATGATAAAAGAGAGGCCCGACAACATTCTCACTGGGAAGGAAAAAGACAATTTCTTCAGCCTGGACTCATCAAAGGAGCTCCTGACTCTCGTCTTGCAGGCACTGGAAGACAGGGCTCATTATTAAGACTTGTAATTTCCTGTCTGTGACCCTCCCCCACCACCAGTTTCCCTGCTCCTGATCTCCAAGGTGCTCTAACGCTAGTCTCTGTGGGTGTCTCTGCTCGGCAAGCTGTCTACTAGTTGAATAGATGGCCTCTGCAATGCAAATGCATCTTAAGACTGCACTTTTGTAGAATTAGTATTCATGCTTATAAAGAGACGAACATTAAAAAACCATTAAACTGGCTTGTCTATGGAATAAAATAATGAAGCAGCAGACCATTACAAAAAGGCTAGGCTCTTTTTTTGTTCTTGTGTTTAACATTCTTTGTCATTTAGAATGTCTCCACCTGTCTGTGACTGTGAAGGTACAGAATCTCGTTCGATCGCCTTTACGCATCGTCAAATTGTAAAAGAGGAAGCAAAATGTGTCCGGGACAGCAATGGATACTCATACACTGTAGGAAGCACAGTGGAAATGAGCATTACCGTCAAATGTAATAGAAAAGCAAACAACAAAACCTTCAAAATGGCTTGCAAAACACTCTTATTTCTGTCTTGAAGTGGTGGATGCATCCCCACGAACCTGCTCTTGAATATCATCCCTCTCTGAATCACATCCCCGAAGAACAGCATCAGTGCCGCTGTGGCAGCACAGAGCTACAGCTTGTCTTTGAAAAATAATGAAGACAATAAAAAACCTGCAAACCAACGTAGCTGCAGAAGTAGGAAATCCCATCAGAACTTTATTTCTTTAAAGGCAGGATCTTGAACAAGACGGACTTATTAGAATACAAATTCTCATATGGAAAACCTATCAATATTAATGTTGTTTTTTGTAAGTCTGTATTCTATAAATATTTTATAAGCCTGCAATCTCTATAGTGTCTCTGGAAAAAGAAAAACTAAAAGCAAACGGTTAAATTTAATCTCTACACAAAAATGGAAAAATGAATATGATTGGGGAATGGAGGTCACACATTTGAATACAAGGGCTTGAACTTGAAACTGTATTAACTGCAAATGTTTTATTATTTATGAGAATAAAACCTGTAGTGGATTTTAGATTCATAACAAGTGCAAAATTGGTTTCAAACTTAAAATGTTCCTCTTCTGATTGCCGATACACACATATGGCAACAGTTTCAAGACAAACAATCGTCTCTTGCGGTAAGACATATAAATGAAAAAAATAAAAATAAATGAGAGCTTCTGGTGTCCAAGAACAACAGTAGCCTGGCTGCTCGGACTCAGTCGATAGATATCGACACAGTGAGCGACCCCTTGCCCTCCTCAGAGTAGACAGGTGGGACAGGCGGGCTGCAGTGGGCTGGCGATCAGTCATCCTGCACCGCACAGCCGGGTAGCCAGGAGACACCTCCATGCCCACGCACCCATGCTTTTCCAATAATGCACTGAGCCACGGACCGTGGGAACACCAGCGCAGTTATTTCGCAGATGATCCCCTTGAAATCCCGGGAAAGTCGATAAATCAAGAATGTTGTGGGGCAATTTTGGTAAGTGTGCATGAAATCCATTTACTTCATACCATTTTAAGCACAGGAAAACAGGAAAAAACAGGGAATTCCCACTTGCCAGTGTGTTTTCCAGGGGAATGCGGAAACATGGTCTTGCCTCCCAGCTGCGCCTTGCCCCGCCCACGTCCCCGTGCCAGAACCGCCGCAAAGCGCAACTTTGCTCAGCTCGATGTGATGCGCTTGCAGCAGGCCAGCTCTGGGCAGTAGAGGAGAAAGCAGTACTAACCATTCCTACCTCATACTCCTCCTTGAACCCGTAGCCTTGGCCACACTTCATCTGCGTGATGTGCTGGAGCAGGTCTGCCACGCGGATGGCAGGCTGGAACTGCCCGGCCTGGTAGGACATCTCCACCGACTCGCAGCCCCCATAGGGGTAGGTCTGGATGGTCAGCGTGGGCTGGGGCATCTCCCCGTGGCCGCTGTCTGCGGGGGGCGGCATGGAGAGAGGAGGCCGTCAGAGAGGCATCGCGATAAAGGTCAATCAATATATAGGCTCATAACACACTTCTAAATACAACGGCATGCATATTCAAGATGTCACTGCATAGATGGCCGTGACCTCCAAACTGAGATCTGTCAGAGGAGTGGTTCTGTTCTGGACAGATCACCAGGGGTCCCAGGCAGAGCTCCAGGATACATGGCTAAAATAATCCCATGTATCAGGGTGGAAACAACATGCTCACAGTAGTGAGCTCCTGGGCAGTAAACTGGAAGCTGGGGTCTCGGATCTTTAACCCAGTGGTGGGAACCTGCAGACTGTCTGCATGCTTCCGAAACAGTGTTATTAAAGAACACACAGCAAATTGATGCCCCTTTGCAAAACTTTGTTGGAATTGACTTCCACATAGACTATAATTGCAAGAGCTGAGGAAGCTGTTTATGAAGGGTAATCTGGGCACTGGTAAGAAACATTGAGCTAAACCGCAGAGCAGCTCTCTGTATTACACACATTATCCACATTAAGCACCGTGTAAGTGTGGAAGGGTTTTTTTATTAACGTTGCTATTTGTGTCTTAATTACCTTGAAAGTTCATTACACACTTCAAGTGATTCTATGCAAAAGTCTAATCCACTCCAAATACTTCCTGCCACAACAACTCTAATGAAATATGAGTAATTTGCCATGGTGTGTTCAGGCTGCTATCAGATTCAACCGGGGGGGGGGAGGCTCTCAGACTGGGGAGAATGCCGGCAGAGTCAATTTATTGCACAAGAAACAGCGATTTTGCTTCTGTTTTCCACACAAAGCCATCTGAGGCTCCCTGCACAGAGAGCACAGGCCAATAACGACAACATCAGAAAGGAAAGGAAAAGGCGACTACGGCTTCTCCCGTTTATCTGTGACACTTCACACATAAATGTAGCAGTACAGGTTAATCAAACTGCACCACCCACACCAACACTGAATATGTTTACTTACTGTACTCTCCCACAGTCTGGGATATTCAGGAAATCAGGGCTTTATGGGCAATAGATGTAAGAAACAAGATCTTCCACACTGTATCAACCATACAGTTAAGTACATATAAAACCATATACCTACTATATTAATAACCTTACCCAAAGACTGCAATTACCTGAACATCCCCATCACATATTGGAGAATATAGTGTTATTAAAATGTACCACTTTCATTTTTGAAATGCCCAATGCTCCAATAAGCTGTTGGTTGTACAGTATGTAGTCGGAGGCTTTATTGTCTCAATCAATAATATTCGCTTCTGGTTGGGAACAGGCAAAGCCCTGCATGTCTGATTGGAAACAAAATCCTGTATGGTCCCAGAACTGGAAACAGTCATTTAGGTCAATGAAGTCAGTAACAGATGCAGTTGGCTAACTATTAAAAGGTCTAGGCAGAAGGAAAGCCAGAGGACACCCGCCCTGTACCCCGAGCGAGTTTCACTGGCCCAGACCGAGGCCTGAGTGCAGACTATTGACCTGAGAGATCAGGTCTCACCAGCGGCCCTGGGGCTGCTCAGCTTTCTCCATCTACTGCTGCCGAGGCCCCATCACCCGACCCGAAGATCAGCTCTGTGCTCATTCATTATTCAGTTGTTTTTCTCTTTTGTTGCCAGAGAAACTTTCAGAGTGGCAACCCAAAGGGTATATTAGGTTGTAAATATTACCAAGAACAGGCCAAGCATTAGCCGTTGAAATATTAGGCTATAATGCTTCAGGGCAAGGACGAAGGTCAGAGACATGTTTAACCACAGACCATCCTGTGTATAAATAGCCCTGTTTCAAAAAGCAGTGCAGATAAAAACATAGATTACACAATATTAATAATGTGATTTGTTGTCCTTTGTATCAATCTTTAAAATGGCTATTTTATTTATACATTCTAGAGTATACACAGCAGGTGACAGGGTAATAAATCATCTTATCAGTGGAGAAGAGAACAACAAAGAACAGAGTCCACGCAGCTGTCAGTCAAACAGTGAGCTGTCAACGGTACCAGGCCAGAGCATGCACTAGCAGCTGAAATGTGAAACGCTGGAAGTGACAGCTTCAACCCGAGCTCCACTTTTCCCTCTGTGTAACAGAGGATAGAGCCGTCTGCTCTGCCAACAGTGCAAGGTGTGAGTATGTGGCGAATTACAGGATGCAGTACCTGCAGAGACTGTGCCTCAGTCACTTTCAAAGACGCAAAGAGACAGGGGTTCTATCCGATGCTTTTTGGGCTATACTCAGACAGAGATTAGACTTACCAATAACAAGCACTCTCACTGTGAAAAAGATCACAACTCTTCGATAAGTTCGAGAAACTACAATCATGCGACTTGACAGCATCTAAGACCCGGTGACAGTGTGAAGTGCAGAAAGGACACTCATGCGAGCCGTATTTTTCATTCCTTTCTACCCATAGTGCTATGAGGCCTGCCATGGCTGGACCAGGGTGAGTTTATCTGCGTTTGCAACCCTCAGTGAAGACCAGGGTGCTAATGGCAGTGTGGAGCACAAGGGCATTCACTCAAACTGAGCAAAGACAGCCCCTCACGACAGCTTACTGAGACGATCCCACAGGGATCGCATATGTTTGCATTTCAAAGGTGTTGCTCACATGGCTAATGGAATGGAGGCCAAAGCTTGCAAATATAATTTACTAGCTGAATACAGCACTTATTTATAATAACCTCCTTATTAAAGCAATGCTCTCTACCAGCTATTGTGTAAGGCTGAGAGACATATTTAGCACTGGAATTGCATTAAGCTCAATTATCAGTGCTGCTGCATTATCGCTAAACAACGTAGCTCCCTACCATTAACAACAATTAGTCTCCATGCTGAAATACATTTGACAGCTCTTTGTATGGAAGAAGGTAATGACATTTTAAATTACGTTAAAATGTGCCTCCATTACATACAATAAGCATAGGATTAAAAGGCTTTCTTTATAATGGGTTGTATTTTCCTACAGTATGTGCGAGAACAATATATTGCTCCTTTTAAGTTCATATCCCTGGATTAATCATGACTGCTTTTTTTTTAAAAAGAAGGTACCACATTTGGTCTCTAACAGGTGGAAGATGGGAAATTAAAATATCCTTAATCAAATATCAAGCCTCATTTCATAAAAGTCATAAAAGCTGAGTTGTAGTTCTGTTCTTGAGTTCTGAGAAATGTTGGGAATGTTACCCAGAACATGGAGACCAGTCAGTGTTCGCCTGGATTGTTGTTCCTCATGCCAACTGATCATTTAGTCGGCTGGTCGAAACAAAATTCCTACCCAGGTGGGCATAAGCCTTGCTTATAAGAGACAGAAACATGCAGGTTTGTAAGAGTGGAATCTGGCCAGTCCAGGTCTTCAACTCCCATTATTCTTGCCCCAGGTAAAAAAGTTAACTTCTTAGGAGATAGTAAGACCCCGGGCCTCGCTACAGACTTCCGATCTAATCACAGGAGGACAGTGACCTCATTCCTTCGGTCACAAAGGAGCTGTGTCCAGTCCTCAGCAGCTTTAATAGAAATGCCTCTCTAACTGTTTCTCTAGTTCTTTGTGTATTTGCTCTGGCCCTCTTGGTCAGTTTCTCTCTCTCAGCTTCTTTCTGTCTCTGTCCATACCTGCCTCTCTCTCGCTCCAGTTCACTGTGCCTGCAGCTCTCTCTCTCGAGACGTCTCTCAGAGAGCTCTGGTGCTGATTGCAGCTCAGATCAAAGTTACGAGAGTAAAGAACAGAATTAGGTTTGAGTAAAGATGCACTTGTGCATTAAGTGAGTGGAATTCATCAGCAGGGCTGTTTTCCATCGGGAGGAAATGGCAGCACATGCAACTGAAAGGGGATCTTAAGGAACTTGTAAAATAAAAGCACCCATTCTTTACTTTAAGGGCTGGTACTGAGAGTTTCCAAACAGATCAAGGGTAACAACCACATAATGATAAGGAATAAATTACTGTAATTTAATAATATACTCTGCTCAGCTATTATACTCAATAATGTCAGGTACTGAAGATCTCATTGTAGGAAGACTCATTGTGATCACTTGTGCGGTCACTGCTGTCAGATAGCACTCAATAACTGACAATATCCTGCCATCATTTATCAAGTGCCATGTGCACAGGCAGGTGTCAAAGGGCAGCTTTACTCCCCTCTTTCACAAAAATGTGCCTTTTTGCACTGTAGAAAAACTGACCTTAGAACAACAACAGAAGCTAATTTAAAGCTTTTATAAAGAACACCCAGTGGTAAAAGGGAAGGACCGGGAAAGGAAAGTTTTAGACTCAGTGTATATATTTTTACTCAGCACTGCAGGAGCAGTGTGGAGTCAGGATGAATGAGTAGAGCAAATTATTGACTGAGAAACAAGATGATTATGGCATGTAGTACAGGCAATTTACGCAGGTCTTACAGTACAAATGTACTACAAGAATCAATAAACGTTTCAAACAAGAGTGAGCGAATGCTGTGTTGTTTGACAGTGCCTTACACAGTTCAGCTCTGTTTGCAAAACACAAAGCTATTCCCCATGTGGCTAAACTGGTGTGTCAGCAGGGCATTAAAAGCAATCCTTTCTGTCAGCAGCGTCACGTGCCCATGCTGAGAAGGCCCTCTCACAGCCTGCTGCAGGAATCAGCACCGTCCCTTCAGGGAGATTATTTCTGGTCACCTAAAGACGTCAAAGCCGTTGTGTAGGACAACAACCAGAGTTTAACTGAAAAGCCACTAGGGGTGAAGCTGCAGAGGCAGCACAATAACCTTACAGTCCAGGGCTGTAGAGCACCGTGACACTGCCTGGGGGAGGAGGAGGAAGACTGTCTGTCTCCACGATTAGCACCACATGGCGTTCCTGGCATTTTAATGAAGCTGAACGCAAAGTCATTTAAGAGATCACACACACATACACCTCAAGGCCTTGTTCCATCAAACAGAAGACGTTAATATTTCTGCATTAAAATCAAAACTGTTAAAATGTCACCCTCGCTTTCAAGATCTCAATTCTAATCACATCTCTTACATGCAATTAGAGTTCATTAAGATTATGGATGCGTTTTTTACGTACTACAGTGCTAATGGCACTTTTCAATTTCCTGAAACACAGATAATACAGCAGGAGTAGAATGCTGAAAGCAAATTAAGATGCTATTATTAACAAAGAATTTACATATCCCTAAACTGCTGAGTGTGTTTCATTTTGGGAGTGACTTCCATTGTGTTGTTACAAACAGTGAAACATTTGTATCATCGCAATAACTTTACTATATTTGCCTATTTTTTTTTATTTCTTGCTACTGTAAGATAAATTAATTTACTCCTTAAAGAACAGTGAAGCATAATTGATTTTTTAATTATCATGATGTTAAAGCCACTCTCCAGAATGTGTGTAAATGAAAGAAGGCAGTCAGGCTCACCTAAAGATGACACTGGGGGAACAGGGTCCGAGGTCACTGGAGGGGCAGCCACAGGCAGGAAGACAGAAGTTAGTGTTTGCTGCTTGACCGGACTGTCTATAACCACAGACAGGAGATGAACACAGTTTTCAGACAAAACCAAAATAACCATCTGTTCGGTTTTTCGTGAAATGACTAACTTCACGCTACCAGTCTCTTTAAATAAGAAATAAATACTTCTTATGAAGAAGGATGTCTGTAGTCAGCCTTCAGCAGTGGCTAAATCCAGCTCTGTTCTCCTACTGTAAACCAAGACATCTCTAAGGTTATAAGGTTACTCAAAGCAGGCATGCTGTACCTGAGTAGTAGGAATTCAAGAGGCTTTTGCTTTGGAGAGTTTTGCTCTGCATAGAAAAGGAGCGGGGAGGGGGGGTGGCTGGGGAGAAGAGATACAAGGAGTGTTTAGGAATCAACACAGAATGGCAGGCACCAAAAACAACGCCAGGACAGACGCACAGAAGCCGTGACGTGTCTCAGTGATACAACCACAGAGAGCAGCGTGAGGTCAGACACCCCCCCCCCAGAGATCAGACACGTCCCCCAGGGGTCAGGCATGAACCCCCAAAGTACAAGCATGAACCCCAAAATAACTGGCACACCCCAACTGGGCTGCACCTCACACTACGTCTGCATGCTGTCAGCCCTTGTGACCACGCACCTCGACTGCCCATGGCAGCTGGACTCTGACCTTCACACTGGGGAGAGTTCAGCTCTGCCGCACCGTGACTTACCCTGCGCGGCTTTAAAGAGACAAATACTGCAACTCAACAATTACGTTCTCAGCATTCAGAAATTTAACCGAATGGTCAATTAAGTCTCCTTCCCCTCCCCCAGGACTCCCTCACACAGAGCCCCAGAGAAAAGAGAGAATTCTGAAATAAGGAAGCTGTGAAACCCCAAGAGGAAGACAGCAGCACTGAGGAGGAGGAGGACTCATTTGCTTACAATTAGAGAGCAGTGCATAAGCAGTCACTCACAGACACATTACATGGTCTTATTACCGAGTGTGAAATGTTACTCTACTCTGGATTACTACTACTCCGTGTAATAATAATAGAAGACATTTTCAGTGTTCTGTTTATTTATTCAGGTTTGAATTGATCTCTAACGTTCAAACTACATAGTTCTACATACCCAGTTACAAAGCACAAAAAAATAACATTTTAGACAATTTTTTTCACTACCAAGGGAAAGTACTTCAACAGCAGCACAATAATAGCTTTACATTTGAAAGCAAACGTTTTGTACATTAAATATCACAAGTGCTACTTGCTACACCATCCATGTAATTATTAAAAGCTAATATTAAATCTATTCTGTTTGCAGAAAAAATTGTTTCTGCCTCATTAGCCATAATCCACTTCTAACAGAGCTTGTCCTGGGTGCTTCTAATATGTGTAATTTTTAAAAACAAAACAAAAATAATATCCATAAAGAAAGCATTATCTATGGATACAGAGCAATCAGATTCTGCTAAACAACACCGCTGGAATGTTTTCATCATCCAACAGAAAAATCTGCTTTCAGCAAATCAGGTGATGAAGGTGGAATTAGTGTACTTGGATTTGGAATGAAGCTGCATCACATCTAACCTGGCACTGGCCAAATCCCCAATTTATCCTTATTTGAAAGTTCAAGCTTTTTGTTTTCATCAGGAATGCATATTTGCAAAGCCCTGATGCCCAGAGCCACTCCTGACGTCTGTCAGGACACCGGAGTTTCCTGCAGTACACACACCTACTGTACCAGACGTCAATTAGACCCCTTTAACGGAGCAACGAGTCTGCTGCGTCACCGATGTAGCACTTCAAGAATGAGATGCTGACAATTCTGAATGAAATATTATTCTGGTATGGTGTGAAGGGGCTTGGAATTAATTATCTACATATGCAAGCTTTTTTGACAAGGACTTCTCAAAATAAATCAGCTTCATTCCACATTTCCTGCAGCAACACGTCTGTCGGCTTGAGCATTTGTGTTTTGTCTGTGGAACTGAGGGCCACTGGAAGGAGAGAGTGGGCTTTCATCTCGAACCGAGGACCGTAGCCGGTTCGTCAGCGAAGCAGCCCACGAGGCCTCAGGTGTTTCAAGTGTCAAGAAAGGGAGTGTTCTGGAGGGAGGGTGCGGGGGTGTTCATCAGGAATCAGCTTGCAGATATGCTGGCATGCATTACATCAACACTTTCAGTGCTATCAAGAGCTGTACTTCAAAACCGTTACATACATACTGCACATTTACCAACAAGTATGTGCAGTGAGAAAGCAATTTAATACAATAGGTCACTTAACACAAAAATAATCAAAATAAAAAATAACGCAAAATGCATTTTGGCATTGTTTACTTTCTGAACCATAGTTACACACAGAACAAAGATAGGCAGAAAGATTTTCATTTAAGATGTGATGTGAACTTTAACGTAGGTGGTTTGCAGGCCATTTTGCACAGGAAAGGATATCCAATATTTCAGTAGAGACAAGAGTGAAGGTTGCCTTGTGCTACAGAATTATTAAACCCAGAAAGGCCACTGTGACATTTTGCTAATAAGGAACAGAACAGAATCTAATTATTGCCACAACGCAGGAAGACACACCGAAGTTTAAAACGTAAACCTTTATTTTTTCTTTCTTGTTCTTCTTTGAAAAGATGTGCCTTGATAACTTTGGGTCAGTTTAAATGGTACTCCGTTCATAATAAGAGACCAGATTACACTTTGATCTTCAAATTCTATCAGTACAGCTCAAGTGTTTTATGCCCTATTACAGCTTGTGGGACTTCAAAGCCACAGCCTGATATGGCAGCATGATGTTGTATGAGAATCAGTGGCACCGAACTAACCTGCACACAGTCTGTTATTAACAGTCTGTGTTTTAAGAGCTGCAATCATGTGGAGGGACTGTATTGTCAAAGCACTGTGCCTGAACTCAAAGCACACAGCCTCGTGCTAATTTTACAGCTGCTACAATGCAGAACAATTACAAGATATGCAATCTCCTCACTCTGGTTTGCAATCAGAAAATAACCTCAGCTTCAGAAATGGAAAACAAATAGGCACTAAAACACGCAAACAGACAGCAGAGACACGACAGGTTTTAATGTAAGGTATCTTGTGCAGTTTGCAGCTAGTTTTCCCATAGGACTATTAAGAACATGGAGTTGGCTCTGCAGGTTTGACTTGGTACAGGTGGATAGGTTCCATGTGCCCTTGGTTAGTCTCTGTATGGTGAATGCTTCTGTTCCCTCAAAGGGGTACTATGCACAGACCCTTAGACAGGAGACTACAGTTCAGCTGTTCTGACAATGTTTAAAGCCCTCCATGCACGTTTATATGTTACTTTCAACGTGGGCATCAATCTGAGAAAATGTCTCTGCAAATTAACTCTGGACAAACAATCCAGTGGGGATGTTACCATAAAGATAAGAATACTAGTGTGCGTTCATTGTTCATGGATGTCATTTTGAGAAACTCTGTTAAGGGAGCAGCGAAAATCGCACCTTAATGAGCCGTGACTGAATGAATCAGCCAATCAATCGATAAATCCACCAGGTCACATCTTGCAATCAAGTTCATACACCCACTTTTTGCCCACTCTGCCATTTCAGTTCCAGCGCGAGTGTGGAGAGTAACAGCGTGTCGCACTGCAATGTGGGTAAGAGAGGAGAGAGGGAGAGAGGAGAGCAGCGAAGTGGGGGGAGCAGAGCGGGGTCCGGGGAGAAGGGAGAGAGGAGGAATGGGAGACACACTCACAGAAGCCGTTGATGTCCTGGGTGCTGGCGGAGAAGGGGTCGTCCTTGTGGAGGGTGCTGACCTTGGCAGTGCTCTTGTCCACAGTGCCCACGGGCCCCATCTCCCGCTGCGTGCTGCTGCTCTGTGTCTCCTTTTGCTTTTTGGCAAGTTTCCTTGAGGTTTTTCAAAACAAGCGAGACAGTTTCATTCACACGTGGATAGAGCTCCGAATTCCAGGAGAGGAACAGAAGAATCAAAGAGCACTAATCGCACACAACACACTGAGCAGAGACTATCTGTGACCTGGAACTGAAAGGCCCAGGACCGCTCAGGAAGTAAGAATGCAGTCTACTCTAGGTCCCTGGGCCATCAAATGTATTTGATATGTAACAGTAAAATAAGAATAATCCACATATTCTGAAACATCTATTTTATCTGACACCTGACTCGACTGTGTTGTCTTTCAAGTCACAGCAATTTACGCCTGCAGAGAAAAAAACTGCAGGAATTTTAAAACAACAACAACAACAACACATAAACCACTTTACCAGAAAACTGAAATTAGTAATGGACAGACAGACAGAACCGCAGCTCTCTAGTAATGGACAGACAGAACTGCAGCTCTCTCCATATGTTGTTTATAATTAGCAGGGAAATGACAGGCACACAGCGGTCTCAGACATCATTCCTGCTGTAAAACAGATAATTCCCTCTGTATTCTTCACTGCTCTTATCTAGCTCTAAACAGAGCATCAATAATTTGGTGCATTTGGATGTAGGCAGCATTTACAAAGTTCATACTCTTCTGCAGTGACTATCTCAGCCCCAGGGCATGAGAAAGTCGTCATCACTCTAAATCTGGATCCTGCTGATTCCGTTGAACCGTTTCCATCTGGCTGTGTAAACGTCCTAATCTCTGCCGCCGGGTATTCTGTGACAAACGTCCATCAAGCCGAGACCACGGTCAGCACCGCCCGGGACGGCCGGGTAATTGCGCAATAACTTCTCCATTTGCCTTTTACGGTTGGGAGAAAAATACCTTGCTGGCAGCTTCAACGAGAATTGTATTACTCAGTGTTACAACATAAAACGTTTGTTCCATTTCTCGCATCACACTTATCTGCAGTTTTCAGCATTGTGTGGTCTTTCACACCATTAGGATTACAAATGCTTGCCATGTGGAACAAAGCGATTCAGGCACATCATACCCAGAGTGCACTGCTGTACAAGAAAGCAAAGTCATTAGGCATGCTCAGATTGCATGTGTAATGTCCCCTCACCCACAGCTGCCGTGGGGCTGATATGAGTAGGATACAACTACACATTCAATTACCAGATAGACAAGCTGAACATACAGGGTAGAATTTTAAGGGGTCCCATGTTTTCAAAAGAGAAACTGCATACAAAATCGAGATTTATCGAGGATTTTGCACTAGATTTATTTATTTCATGGATGGAGATAAATCACACATTAATGTATGAATTACATTCTTTAATGTAATAAAGAAATAACTATAATTGCTAACACTTACATAGTGCTTTTCTGGATACTCCACTCAAAGCGCTTTACAGGTAATGGGGACTCCCCTCCACAACCATCAGTGTGCAGCCCAACCTGGATGATCTGACGGCAGCCATTGTGCGCCAGAGCGCTCACCACACACCAGCTATTAGTGGGGAGGAGAGCAGAGTAATTAAGCCAATGAATAGATGGGGATTATTAGGAGGCCATGATTGGTAAGGGCCAATGGGAAATTTGGCCAGGATGCCGGGGTTACACCCCTACTCTTTTCGAGAAACACCCTGGGATTTTTAATGACCACAGAGAGTCAGGACCTCAGTTTTTAATTTAATCTGAAGGACGGTACATTTTTACAGTACAGTGTCCCCATCACCATACTGGGGACATTAGGACCCACATAGGCCTTGGGGTGAGCGCCCCCTGCTGGACCCACTAACACCTCTTCCAGCAGCATCCTTAGTTTTTCCCAGGAGGTCTCCCATCCAGGTACTGACCAGGCTCACACCTGCTGAACTTCAGTGGGTTGCCAGTTGTGAGTTGCAGGGTGATATTCTGTTCAAGAATTCTTAAACCTGATTCCACATTACTGGACCTTGAAACTCTCTATTCTGTAGTAAGCTAATGCTATTAACTAATTCTTGAAGGCTTGTTTGAAACATGCGAGCCAGTGACATGCCAGGGGCAGCTTGCTATTAAAGCACACTGGCAGGGAGTAAGATGATGATGATGAAGGAGGGCTGAGCAGAAGGACAAAATGCAGGTGTGCTACAGCAGCAGCTCGGATCCAACGGATGCTCAGGATTCACCACTTTAGTCCTGCCCATGTGGTCCTGGATTCACAATATAGCAGCCAGTGTAGAGGTGGATGTGTGAGGGGTGTACTTAAACAGGACTACTGCCACACTAACATGCAAACAAGATTCCAGCCAATAACATGCAATTCAACAGGGAGTTTTAAAGAGGGACATGACAGGAACTTGCCTTTGACTTACTGCATTACTGAAGGGGCCGTGGGACTTTGGAACAAGCAATCCATTCAAGTTGTTGAAGCCAATACCTTGGCTACTATTAAGAAATGGCTGGATGAAATACTTGGATATTTAGCTACCAGATACCATATTTCTTATATTCCTCTGGAGATGACGCCAAACATTTCAATATTATTTTTGGCAGGGGTATGCTGGCACAGGTTGCATTTGAGGCACACCTGGATGAACTGCAGCTCTACCATTTGAGGAGCTGATAGCCCTGGCGAAGCCTGCTGCCTGTGCCCAGTCTGACTGAGCGAACGGCTCACGCCTCCAAAAGCTCATAATAAAACAGCCATAGTGGAACATAAGGGCTGGGAATCCGTGAATCCCCAACATATTCGAAGCTGCTGGCAGGGGCTGCAACATAAACAACTTTCTTTTCAAAACCCTGCATTATTCTCGACCAGGGTCTATAAGAGGGAATCCCAAAATATATACAGTTTTGTAATTGTTTTTTTTTTACATCACAGATATAATTATCCTGGCAATATTGGGGGAAAAAACGAAGGCATTATACTGTATGTACATCCTGCACTTCCAAGAGCCTGGTTTGCATTTCTCACTCTGCTCTGAAGTCTTCCTCAAGGGATAGAGAGCAAGAAACTGCATATTGTGACAACTGCAAAAGTATTTCAAGTCAGCTTGTTCTGGGGGGGATTACAGGCTGACAGTAGTAAACACTGCACTTTGAAAAGCCCTATGAGGCAATATGCAGCAACACACAGCCACCTCCCTTGGCTGTGCGTGTTTTTTTCCCCAGTTAACGCTGCAGGTTTTAATATAGCAGCGATAAAGCATTGTGCGTCTCTGCAGGGCAGGGAGAGTAACGTACCCGAGAGAGAGCACTGCAGAGCCACAGGCGAGGAAACACAGCAGCTCTCTCCAGAGCTCACCTGTGGCAGCGCCACACCCGCCCCGTGTGCGAATGGATGTGTGACCTGCGCAGGCTGCCTGCCTCCTTCATTAAAGGGGTTCTGATTATAAACCAGTTTACCCAGCCTTGCAACCCCCACGACTCTTGAAGGGCCCACGGTTCGAGTGTGTCATTATATGATGCTGTGTGGTTCAAAGCAACACTGAACTTCCCTGTAATCATTTGGCATCCTGAAAGATTACACAGAGTTAATTATGGGAATTTTCTCAATTGAACAGCCTCTTCGATATTTTGTAATGGACTCATTTAAATGACAAATTTCTTGCATATTGTAAGCAGCAATGAACTAGAGATAATCCTTATTTAATGAATGTCAAACCAGTACTTAATTAAAAGGAAAGCTACCATTATCTGGTTCTACAAATTCCAGTGTTATGGTATTTTCTAGGTGTAACCTCACTAATTGCATGTTTTTAATATTCAGGACTATTATCCTATATTTTTTTAAATCAATTGCCAAGTGTGAGTTATTGATTTAAAATGCACAGTTTGACTGTGACACAGAGAAAAGCAGCTGCTGTCTAATTGAGAGCCTGATAGTGTAAATTACAATCAACTGGCACTCCTATGGAAAGCAGCATGCAGATCAGGTAGAGCTATTATAAATACATAAATCTCCTCCCTGGGTCAAGATAACAGATAAATAAACACTTAAGTAAATGCAATTAGCGACTGGATGAGTCAGCCAGCATGCAACAGCGAGGTGATCGCCCAGCACAAGCTGTAATGACCAGAAATTACATGATGTCTGTCCATCATCGCCTCCACACAAGAGCTTGTCCACACCCATCCAGCAGACAGACAGCAGAGGGGGGTGAGGAGAGCACACAAGAGCTTGTCCACACCCGTCCAGCAGACAGACAGCAGAGGGGGTGAGGAGAGCACAGAAGAGCTGGTCAACACCCGTCCAGCAGACAGACAGCAAAGGGGGGTGAGGAGAGCACACAAGAGCTGGTCTCGGATAACTCCCGACTTCCACAGGGTTAGAAAACAAGACTTTTCTTTTTGCTATTTTAACACATGGCAGGGGAGGAGTGGGTGATTAATTTGTTCATCAGAGCTAGAATTAAACCAGAGCTCTGAAAGACGAGGTTTGATTTTGATTTTTAACGTCATGTAGCGCAGACCAGAACTTCAAGACGATGACCGTGATCTACAAAAACTGTACACCTGACTTTCATTTTTTTTTCTTCAAATTAAAAATTCATTTTCTTTGGCTTGACAAATCTGTGAAAGATACCTTCCCTATATTAACAGTGTAGGTGTTCATAGGCTTCATGAATCGGGCTGCCTGTCAATGAGCCTGGAGACAGACCACATGGGTTTTCTGTGCAATAAGAGGCACGTTTCTGAAGGAGCTGGGGAAAAGACAGACAGTATAAGCACCTCATGTGCCAGGCATGGAAGGCATCAGTGTGAAAGGAGATCTCTAGAGCCACTCCACACCTGAAAACCTAAATGCTGATGAAATCACAAGCGTGCGGACGACAGTGTTCATCATTGTCATCCCTCTCCTCACAAGCTAGAATTGCCATACCCTGTATTGTTTCACAATATATAACAGATTGCTTTACAGTATACACCCTAGCTCTAAATCTGCTGTTGTGGGTTTTTTGCACTATTGAAACTTACAGTTCAGCATCTGTCCCCCCAGGTGTGATGTGGGAGGCAGATCTCTGTGCATCTGAAATCTATCCTGTCACCCGCTAATGAAGTGGCTGCGGCACCTCTGCTGAAAAGAGCACGTGGCCCCTATCCATCACCTGCCGGCTGTCGCTGCTCAGCTCCTTCCCTGTGCGATCGTGTTTTGGTTCTGCAGGTGAGAGCAAAAAGACCCTACAACCCAAACAGTAGCGATAATGACTACCCATCTCTCACAAAGATGAGGGAATGAATAACTTTCCCAGCGCCTCGGGGTGAATCAGCTGTAGGGCGCTCCGTGGCCCTCAGGGGGGTGGCAGTCTCACCAGAGCTTGCTCTGGGACGGGGGTGCTGACAACACTCCCACACGGCAGCTGCAGCAGCAGGCGGCTGGGTCTCCGGGGAGCGGGAGCGTCCTGCGGGCGGAGGGCCTGCAGCGCCCTGACCACACCAGCCTGGGGCCACGGGCTCACGCCAGAGAGGCAGCTGCTCGAGAAGGGGCTGCGAGCGACAACGGCGGGGGATTGCTGACTTTCGTCTACATTTCAAGAACTTTGATTTTAAAAATATGCAGCTGTAGAACACAGGATCGAAACCCCTAAAAACCTTAACATGCTCGGGAAATATCCCACAGCTGTGGCTTCTACACCGTCTGCAAGAAACGAATTCAATCTTTCATCGTCCTCAAAAAAGACTTCTTAGACGTTCTTTATGCTCACGTTGTCGTCTATGGTATATCATTAAAATGTTTTGGGGTTCACAGGGCAATCACAGCAAATTCTGAATGACCTGTGTGACAGACTAGCCGCTACACCTGCAGGGATGATGTTCTGATTTAGTGTGTTCAGTCAGCGATGAAGTATCTGTCTGCTCATGAGGGCCTGGGTCCAGGCTAGGCAGGGGCTCCTCTGTTTCTTGGGATGAGAGACTGCCGTTTCAAAGGCCTCCAGCCTTTTGCACAGTATTATTAGTTTTCCCATGGGTCTACTGTGCTTATATCATGTTTTCACTTTGGCCTTATATGGTTTCCCATCTGTATCTTTCACCATCATTCCACTCTGTTCTCTACCGTGTTTTTACCCTGATTTCTCCATTTCTTTCTATACTCTGGTTAAACCAGATGTATGTGATAAATCATTAAAGTCTTACACAGCTGATGTCATATAAAAAATATTAAGTAATAACAGATGACCATCTGCTGTAGCATGAGAATCAAAGAAATCCAAAAAGGACAGCTTCTTTCTAGTGTCTTACTATGTTGTGGTCATCCAACAAAGAGCTGTCGGTGTCTAGACCTTGCTGCTGAGCTAGGCAGCCGGGCTGACTTGTCGATAAGCGCATGGACGAGACTTTGTGATCGAATGAGGCCAAGTGCTCTGCTGTCCCTGTGCTGCTCGCCATCTACAGGCTGGGATCTGATGGACACACAGGACTCGAACTGAACTGACTGGACAGAAAGACAAACAGCGGTGTGATGTAATGAGAAAAAAACAAGGCTCATTAATAAAAGCTTGACTATGCTCCTGATCCTTCTGAATCAGCCAGTCAGCTCTCCTTGCTTAAAACGCCAGGTATCCAAAAACGTTCCTGCTGCTTTTGCTTTCAGATTTCTTTTTTGGATGATAAAATGCTACAGTACTTGTATTATTTACTGACTCATCTCACCTTCCATTGCCCAAGGCTTCTTATTTCTGCTAAGGGTCACGGAAACTAAGAGCATCCCTAATGAACAAAGCACGGCCCCTCTGCAGTGGACACTCTGTCCTCTTTCAAAAGAGTCTCGAACACTGAATCCTTTGTGCTTTTGGTTGCATTTCTATGAACATTTGAGACTATTTTGTGGAAACTGGACTCTGCAACCTTGCTGAAATCAAGGGTGAAAATGCACTGTCTTTTTTCTTTTACTTCTCACACAGTTCTGGAAGCAAAGAAGCTGATCTGAAGGCATTTATAAAAATTCCCCACCATGTGAATAGAGCTGCATTCAGTCAAAATAACACCCTAAAACACCTGAATATATATATATATAAGATATAGCCACTAAATCTAGTGCTAATAAAAACAGAGATAAGGAGGTGAGCTGTTGCTGCAAAGCCAGAGCCGAATCTTGTTTTTATTGAAGCATGGAGCAGTAAGTGTCATAGGCTCAGGCAGTCACACGATGAGTCAGAGGCAGAACCCAACCTCCTGGTAAGAGGTTTTTACTGTTTTTTGAAATACATAGATTTGTTTTTCTGTTTTTGATATGTACCTACAGCACAACAGCCTGCATTAGCTTAGCCAGAAATTTCACTTTATTAATAGGAGGCAGGTAGGAATTCTGAAACCTTGCTTCATCTCAGGTGAACAATATCATTGTAATAAATTAGGGCTTGATAAATTATAGCCATTCACTCCCTGGAAAGGGGCTTGATTTAAAACACCTGCTTTGTATGTTGGATGCTGTGATTGACAAAGAAGCTCATAAGAATACTGAGAATATTTGTCTTATTTCTTCTCTTAAAATCAGGAACACCTGCTCCAATTAATATTAACATCTCTGGAAAAATTAGCAGCCCTAACTCATAACCTACAAGTAGGTATGCAGGACAATTAATAACTTAATTAAGCTTTCACAGCTATTAAAATACAAACATCATAGAATATCTGGCATTACTCAAGCATTTGCTTGACTTGTGGAAGCCGGAGCCCCCTGTGAAGAGTCTGATTGACCACTCACTGAAGTGGACCTGTGTGCAGAGACCGGATCCTGATGCCTGGATCCTGCCCCGTCCAGCAGCCACACAAGCTACAGGTATGACCCAGAAGCTGGAATCCCTTCCACCAAACTAAGCTACAAGAACAGAGGGCTGAAACTTGGCTTCCTTGTCCTTCCAAGAGCATGCCTGAAGCTACCTTTGTAACTGCAGTCACTTCTTTCTGCCTCAGAGCAGCCGGGCTCGAATTCTTTACAAGGTTAGAATATTATAGCAGCCGATCTGCGAGGACACGGTCACCTCTCCGAACACAGCTCCGGGAGCAGGGGGTCAAAGAAGCATTACCACCTCGCGGCCTGAGCTTGTCAGATCTCAAAAGCTCAAAGGTCTGGTCCTGTTCAGCACTAGGAGACCTCCAAGGGAAGACAGGCTAAGGGGTGATGGATCTGTACAGGGGGCTTCTGTCTCTGGCTCAGAATCTCCAAACGAGTACCATAACCTGGTGTGGCTGCTGCCCGTCACCCAGGAGCAGTGGAAGAAGTGGCTCCAATAGATTTATCTGTAAGAGCTTTGGGGTCCACTGGAGTGAAAAGTGCATGCATTTCTACAGAAGTTACGAATTATTTTCTGGCACTGTACGTCTAGATACTGTGCTCGCCTATCCCCGCACAGTGAGAACACAGTGAGGTCCTTGCACTCTTCTTCCCTGTTATACTGAAATACTGTAAACCATCTGTAAACTAATAAAGGTCCTGGGATGTACTGAGGCTCCTCACTGGATGGGGTCAGTAGGGCTGTGGGTTTAGCGCTAGATTACACCCAGAACCCAGAAGGTAGCAAAGGCACTGCGCGCAGCTGCAGTGCTGGATTTGCTTTGAGCAGCCTGTGCAGGCCGTGTCCCACATGGCAAGCTGAGGTGCAGAACAAGTGGATGGACTGTCCACAAGGGTCTCAAGAGAACAGAGCTCAGGCACGGCCTGTGCTTTTTACATACTGTCAGAAAAGGACGTAAACCTTAACCTTTTGTGCTCATTAAACTTGAACTTTTTTAAGAATCAGCAGTTCTGTTGAAGACTTGCCAATACTATACAACAGTAGCGGGGGAAAAAAGTGAAAAGGGAGAGGTCCCCAGTTCTAGTGTCTGTAAAAAAGCTGAAACATTAGAGAAAAAGTCAGAAAAAAGGTCACAAGAAGAAGAGGAAAAGGGAGAAATTAAGAAGGACTGAAGAACAATGTCAAGAACTTGTGTTATACTAAAATCTACTTACAGGTAATAAGAGTAGGAATACGCATTTCTTCTGAACCATGAAGTTGAGCCAATGGGACAAAATTGTGCAAAAAAAAAGGACAAACAGATTTATTAGTTATCTCACACCCACATCAATAAAGAAATGTTAGCAGAAAATATTAAAAATGACCGAGAATACCAACGATTGCAGTTTCTTTTGCACTCTATCTGAAAGCAGGTCTACCTCAGCCTACTGTGCAATTAAAACAATTAAAACCAGACAGCGACAGCCTTAACAGCAAGTGCTTCCCACACCTGAGCTTTTACACCTGGAACCTCACAACTCGTCACACTGAGGCTATTTTACAGGCCTGACTCCTCCCACAAACAGCACAGCTGGCATCCCATTTCATGAAATAATTCTTAATGCGTTCAAAAGATTAAAAAGAACTTGAGTTCTTCACTGAAGGCCTCCATAATCCCCTGATTGAATTCCTCTAATTACATACTGCACTCCTGGCCATGCCATGTTCATAGACAGCAAGGATACTGCGACTCGATTCACACCGAAACTGGATGGGGAACAGTAACACCTGGGAGATCACTAAAACACCTCAATGACATGTATCCTGATTAATTAGGTCTGTTGTTGAGATTTATCTGTTTAAGGGCCTTTATTTAAGTCCTCATTAAGTTTGATGTAGAAAAAACAGTAAAGGAATTGCAAATAGAGGCGTTGGTCTAGCTGGTATCTTTCTGTTCTCAGGGTTTAGTGTGCACGTCTTGCACAAATGTGATTTAATATCTTTTAAAAACCAAAGCTACACATGGAATATGTTCAAATGCTTTTCCTTCATAGGTATTTTGGGGGTTCATTTCCACTGGCCATAAGGCCAACTGGTGGCTGACCTTTAAAGAATAAAACAGACACCATTTCTCTGAACAGCCCGGCTGTAAAGCAAAGCCCTGTGCAGCAGCAGCCTGCAGGGACAACCACCATTTTCAACAGGAGCAGGAATATTCTCCAGTTTCCCCGGTACTGTTTCTTCCTCCGAGAAGCAGAGATTGGGACTGAAGCAGCCTTCTCCACCGGCTCCGTTTTGTGAAAGACTCAGGCGCTGACTTAATTGCAAAAGTACAGTATATAACAACAACACTTATTATAATAAGCAGTGATAAGCTCTCTTTTAAAGCACCAACTGGAAATTTTTTGACCCCCACTTTGAAATATACTGATCTAATCAACACCTGCTCTTGAACACTGAATAATGGTTTTATGAAAGGCACAACACAGGAACATAGTAAGTGTAAATGGAAAAGTGTGTAAGCATCTAGAAGCAGGATCTAAATACGGAAGACCGAGGTATTTAGCAATTGCTTAAGTGTTCTCTTGCCATTACTGGTTGTTAAAGAGACTGAATCTGCAGAGCAGGAGTGAATATTTATTATCTGCTTGGCTCCAGCCACACCTCCCATATTGTTAGTACAGATTCCCGCGCTGATGCCCTGTAGAACTGCAGGGTTTCACTCCCGTCTTCAGCACACAATGAATGTCACCAATTTAAATATTCTCAGATACTCATTTCTTACATTTTTCCAAGGTCTCACGCAGATGCACGGTTTAAAAAAGGCACAGCGGATGTAAGGAACAGTTTCCTAGAAGCCTTTCTAAGACACTATGAGAGAGAAGCTATGAAGCAGCCCAATTAGCTAAGCAGTTAGAGCAATTACAGTGACTAAGGCGTTGTGCAGGACGAAAGGTCCTAGGGTTAAGTGAGAGTCCACTAGGTTAAAATGACACAGCGTCTAGTTTCTGACTTGAAAAACGATGGCTTTTTCCAATTAGATTTTTTTTCTACAAGTTAACTTTTCACAAGTTAATTGTTTTTTACACAAGACCGGCCATAGAATGAGAAAACTAGCAAGGCATTCCCTCTGGTCTCACGCTTAGCTCGAAAGGACAGGAAGCAGGCCCAGGAGATCCCTGTACACAGCCCGAGGCAAACAAATCACATTTCCTCCTGGCCTGCCCCCATCACCCACATGGTGAAAAACGGAGTTAGGTGGTGCTGCCAGACCAGAAATTAACTGGACGTCTCATTCCCGGTTTGGCTGTGCTACACTCTTAATGTCCTGAAACAAGTGACATCATGGACATTGTAATCATTAAAGCACTGGCAGGGGCCCCACTCCCACACTATCCAGTGTTTAATGAGCTCTTAAGTCTTCCTATCAGTACTCAAGTGCCTCCCAAAGCAGTGATGATAAATTGGACCTTTTCTCCACAAACTGTCCATTATAATTAAGCCACTTGAGGGAAAGAAATGGCTTCAGCAGCTATGTCCTATTGTACCTGGCAGAGCTCATTTTTTTAATGAAAACCAAACTGAAGTTTTACTTCATTTGATCTGGAAGGCCTGGTTAATGCCTTGGACGCAGCTCCATAAAAAATGATTTAAAAAGAGCTTAGCAAAGGACCGGAGGCTGATTCAGCTGAACCTGGGACAACGCAGGACAAGGAAGGGCCGTGAATATGGCACAGGGTCAGAACTGTTTTGCACAAAGCTTATGTATGTTGTCTTCTTCTAAATCCTTTTCTCCGCATTAAAATTGAAAAGAGGTGCTGATGTCTCCTCTAAAGTATTAATAATCCCGAGGGAAGGCTGCAGATCCAGCCGGAACTAGTAGGCTGACAGACAAAGCAGCCAAGAGAAGCAATATTACCGCAGATTAGAAGCACATATGATAATGGCCAAGAAATAAGAACAATTTTGGCTACCATTAGAAATTTTAAAAAACACAGCTAAAAACAACAAACAGTTTAATTAAAATTAATATAAAGAAGGAACTAACACATGCTAACTATTCCACGATAAAAAGGCACTGAAATATTTTCCTGCAAGTTACAGCAAGAAAGGCAACTCCTGAAAAGGTTAATAGGAACAAATTATTCATGATTTCAGTTTTATCATCACATTTATACAGCTATGAATTTATCAGGTTTTTTTCTGAATAGCAGCAGTTGTCTTGACTGTGTGTCTTATGTATATGCAGCAGCTGTTTTAAATGGTTTGAGGTGGACAAATGACATTTAAGCTTCTTATTAAGACGATGATGCCACTCCTAGAGACTATACATGTAATCCCACTGGGACTTAATTAAAAATGTAATATTAACATATGAAATATATAACACTCCCTTTTGGCCAAGTAGAGACAGAAACAAACACACACATGCAAAGCACACATGCAAGCTATAGGCAGGCTGAAGCACACTTGTGCACTTGACTCTCACATGGGAACATGCAGGTCTGCACAGACATGAGCTCACCTCAGGCACTTCAACAAAGCAATAAAGCACAGCGTCATTCTAGCAATGTTTGACTAAAGTTTAAAATTTCAAAAGAAAACGCAAATTCAAATACTATAGGACTGATTGACTCATTATATAACTTAATCCTGCAGTATAATTCTTTTTAAAAAATTAAAAACCATTATGCAAGTAAACAACTCATTAATTACTGAAGCATTTAATTTGAAACATAAAACACAAATAAATAGCTGGAATGTTTTCCAATTAAAAAAAAAAACAAAGAACATCGATCTTATGTTGTAAGGTTAATTAAAAACATTGTAACATGAATTACCAATGTTCATTCATGGATGCTTAAACCAAGCATATGGGGGATCTCTATTACAGCCTGAGCTCGGAGCATCTCCTGAACTAGGACTCCCTCCTCCCTGAGAAAGACAGAATCAGAGGCGGACTGGGCCCCGCCGCTGTGGTTCACACCGCCACAGGGAATACTCACAGCAATTAATATATTGATCCCTTTTCGACTGCAGTCCGTTTAATGTGGTGAGCAGCGTACCCGCAGATTCATTGATCAGTTCATTGAACTAAATCCCAATTTTCAGATTCCTGCTGCCAGTGGCCCATTAGCATCCTCCATCACAGCAGACGGCCTGTCTGTGTGAGTGTTTCCATGGACGCACTCATGTGCGATGACAAATAATGTTGTGTTACCGCTATCAATTGACTCAGAGGAACACGATCAAACACAGACTAAAACAGGCGGCTATGGACGCAGCTCACGTGAGCTGAGCTTAGTTCTTCACCAGCTGCATGGCTGCAAGGGCAGAGAGAAGAGTGTACAATATATGCTAGTCGGTCAGACAAGACACAAAACACAGTCTGGACTGGAGGAGGAAAAATGGTGCATTACCATGGCTGTTAGCAGAGTATCGATCCAGAAGCCCACTCAGAAGGGCCCTAGAGAAAACTCTGTCAAACAATTAGGCTTTTGAATGGGCTACAATATTTCCAGTAACTTATAAGGCGCGACAGCAAAATTTATGGGCTAATGTGTTAAATGTGTTTGTCTTACATGGATCCCAGTCATCACTGCTGGTGCGTCATGACGAGTCAGTACATAGACACTGGCAGGTCCAGGAAGGAGGGGTCGATGAGCTGCCATTTTTTAAGGTCTTTATGGACACTTAAACAGAACACATTAATCATCACTACCATACTCTGAGCCTCACTGTGGGCTTATATACAGTAACCCACATCAGATGTTCCACAGTCTAATGACTTTAGAGTCCTCCCCATATGCAAAAAAACTTGAACTGAATCTTAAGCAGTATCCCTATTGGGGAATAAGAGCTTGACTCTTTCGTGGCCACATTCGGTTTCTTGGGGCAGGTGATGCTGCAGACTTGCACTGACGCCCATCAGCGGAGAGGGCGCTCAGGACACAGAGTGCTGAACCAGGCACATTTTGTATGTTAATGACCCGCTCAAAACCGCACTTCAGAACCCGATTTTCTTTAAAAGTAGGGCATGACACGGCAACTGGGCTAAAAGGTGAAGAGAAGGAGCTGAAGGTCCCGAGGGCTTTGAGGTGCAATCCACTGTTGCTCTGTATGCCTCAGGAGACAGGTTAGACAGAGACAGCAGGGCTCCAGCAGCAGGAGCAGTGGCACCAAGGCGCCTGCACACTTCTCACTGCTGCACGCTAGATGAATCTGAATGAGTGTGCCACTCCAGAGGGGCAGCGCCAGTTTTAGGAGAAAATAATGATTAATTTGACACCCGACGTAAAGCAGTTTTTTAAGCCTTCCTCTTGGCTGCTGAGAGCAGGCAGAGTGTACAAAGAGTGGTCTGAAGTGCAATGATTACTGCGCAGGGGGGCTTATGCAAATTCATAGTATTCAAAGGTGCACTTGCTCTGCTGCGCATGACTTTCACATCCTGAATAAAACGCATTTACTGTATTAGTGTTGACGGTCTGCTGTTCTCTGCAGTTAGTCAAACATGCCCCACCTACTGTACATCTCCACAGATACCAGAAACAGCATTTGACTGCTGATTAAACAAAAATAAGCCAAGTGCTTGTGATTACTGCTATAGTCCACCTGATACGAGGTTCTTTCCTAATTTTAATATTAATTGATATATTAATATCTATTCTCCCTAACAAAAGCTTGACTCCTGGGGTAAATTCTTGACAACATGCTTAAAACATCCCAGACAAATTCCTCTGTGTAGGTGCTCACGAGCCAGAGGAGAGTGTACTGTAGCAGACTGAGAAGATAAAAGGGCTTCAGACAATTTTACAGGATTTGATTGCTAACCGTTTTTGATCATGTTAATGCTGGCTACAGATTAAAAACAACGGAGCTATAAAGCTATAAAGATTGATTTTCACTGTAAAGTAGAAATGCATGATTCTGGGGAAATATCCACAAATGCATCAGTATTGAAAGAAATGTTCATACTGAGAACATGCTGGATAACTTGTAAAATTAAATAGAAGTACTGACACTATGCATTTGCTGGAATTTAATAAGCTTGAATAATGCAAAGACACGTGAATTTACCAGAATATACAGGGATTCATTACCATGACTCAAGTCAGTATACATTTTGGAGTCATATAAGCTAATTTTTCAGTTGACCAGAAGTGTGACCAATCACTTTTACTTAGTTGGCCATTAATTAATTTTAATTTTACTTAGTTGGCCAGATTAATATTAATTTGTGATTATTCATGAGCTTCTAATATTCTGCTGGAGATATGTTCAAATATAGGCAATATGTATATGAAGTATATGAAGCATAACTAAAACTGGATTCATTCACAAAAACGCTGTTCAAATGTTTATAATAAAACTGATTGTTCAAGTCTAAATCATGGGGCGCAGCTCATCAGATTTCATAGCATTAGTTTCACTGAAGCACACACATGGAAAAGACAAGAAACTCCTCAATCCTGATATATGAGAGGCCTACCATGTGGCCAAATCACATGAGCAGTCCTCTTCATTCTCATGCATGGGCACTGTATGCATTCTCATACATACACAATGCACGAGAATATAGATCTCTGGAACTTCATGAAGTTTCATTAACGTGGCACAGGTAATACCATCAAGATATAATCTAACATATGCAACCTACTGCACACAAACCTTCTGATGGGCTCGAGGCAGCCATGTTTTTAACATAGCTACCTGACAAGAATAAGGTTGCACAACAATGAGATTAGACTTCAGTTTAAGAGTATAACAGTACGAACTGCTCATAAATATCGCCACTGTTTTATTCACTTTTGCAGTTCTGGACAGGATTCCTATTGATAGATACTGTCAGCAGAAGCTGAACGAAAACCAGGGCATCCCCTGGCCAATCATCAGGGCTGCCTTCTTGTGAGAAGAGATCAACTATGAGGAGAGCTGAGAGCAGCAACCACTCACGGCAAACTGTACTGTCGCTCTTCTTCAAGACTCTTCTGACACAGCACCGCACATAACGTTAAGGTGCACTGTGTTCAGTCACCATGGTAACCAGAATGGTTAACTTTGACCACTATTTAAACCATTTTAAGTTTGTTGATCAGTTTGAATATTACAAACTGATCAATGGAATATTACAATTTAAATATCATTATTTAAACATTTTAGCTTTCTGGATATATTAAATAAATGAGCCAGTTTGATGAGTGAGTTTCATTTGTACCTTATCCTGTCCACCAGGCCATAACTGCAGGTTCCCTCTGACACATCGAAGACAGGGTGGGATAGCACAGCATGATGCACCGCAAGGGAGCAGGCCCATAGGAACAGGGCAGCAGCAGCCAGGCGTACAGACTTCTGACCCAGACGACCCCCAGGAGCCACTCACAAACCATAAAACTTGATTTTGTCTTTCCGTTTCCCTGCAGCTTCTAGCTCTGACCCCATGAGAGCCCACTGGCCAGCGCTGTGCAATTTGTAGAAGAGGTCTAAGGCTTGACTTAGTGTTGGCTTTGGTACTGAATCTTAATGGAAAGTCCTTCGCTTAGAGAACAAGAGTGCTAGCTTATTCCACGTCTGCAAATTTCACATGGCTGTCTGTACTCTATTTGCATAACTGATGAAGACCTCCTGCAGATTCTGCCTGCTCTTTAATTCTTGCCTGACTAGTAGGGCACCAGCAAGCAGTGCTTGAGAAATGCCTGCAGGGGCTCTAGATGAATGCAAGTAACTTCATTTTTTTTCCTAAATAAAAGTAAGACAAAACAGCCTGAGCAAGCTTGCTCAGTAGATAATGTTCTCGAATATTTACACATCCATCATTTCAAGGCAGTGACAGGCTGGGGAGCAGATAGGTGCATTGTGCCATCTATGTGGTGGAGGAACACTAGGCTGCCTGCATGTGCTCTCTAAGGCTGGGATTAAATCCAAATCAAAACAGAACCTGCGCTTCCTTAGAACTCCAGAAGTTCTCACTGAGCTCTTGCCCTCCTTGAATTAGGAATTATAACCAGGAAACTCCTTGAATATCCAAAGATTTTCATGCGTTTTTTCGGATGAAGATCTTATTGAAGGGTCAGAGCATTTGTCTTCATGTTGTTGGGGTTGGGGGTGAGAGTTTATCTGCTTAAGCTACATATGGTTCTCCTTCATTTTCCTCTTCTCAGAGCCCCCTGTAACCATCTCACCACCCGAGTTCCACACTCTTCAGAGCCAAAAACACAGCCCACATCCCAGGGAAAAGCTGTCTTCACACAAGTGTTTCCACAAATATCTGATCACACTGGAAAACTATGAGAAAGCTACCCAGCTGGCATTCCAGGGCACTGTCCTGCATCACCCCTCCCCTTGAATCCCCAGCTTCTTCTCTCCTTCCCTGCCATTCAGTTTCCAGCTCTTATTTAAATACAACCTCGGCACCACTGCCACCCACCTCTCCTCTTTCAGCACTAATTCCCCAGTGTCCTACTTTAATTAATACATTAGTTATGGTAGAGAAAAGAAGTCTCTATACATCACCAGCTAACCAATAATCCAGCTTCTCTACAGCTGTTCCCAGGGGAAGTATATCCAGTTGCTTGGTGCACTATTACTGATACAGTAAATACCTAAATTAAACATGTTTTCTCTGCTATGCAAAATGGCATTATTCTGCTGCTGAGTGTCAATATTATTTATTTTAATATATTATTATAATAGTGACAAGCAAGCATCATTATTAGCATCAATATAAAGACAGGGGTCTTTATATTGGTACTGATTTTGCACGGCTGAAATCCTCTGCTTTTCTAGACAAAAGGCCAGAGAGCTGCTGTCGCCACGCAGGACTCCCACGTAACCCTGTAACAGCCAATCAGACAAATCTGGTCCTTTATCTCATGAGATTTTATCTGGGGTCCAGACTCATTCTGATGCCTCAGAAGATAACAGAACTGCAAGGCAACAGCTGAGAGTTAGGTACTTTTCTCTGTAGCCTTCAGTTCATTTTTAACTTCAGGCTGCTTTTTCTACAGCACAGACAAGTGAAATAACCTTCTTAACTTTCAACTTTAGAAGCTAAACTGTCTCGAAACCCTAATAGAGGTACTTGCCTTAAAATCACAGGGGTGAGACATACAAATGTTGTCCTCTTTCCTCCCTTGTGAACAGAGGTTCTTCTGTAGTATTTATAGATACACTGTCCCTATAATGACTCTGCAGAACAGTTTGCCCTTCCAAACCCTTCTGTTTTTTGCCAGATTCTCAAGACTCTGAGGACAGCTACAGTAATAGTGAAGTGTGGGAGCCATTATCAATCACAATAGAAATGTATAATTTGATATTATGAAGAGCCTCAGGTCAAAGATCCCTTTTGCTCCAGAGTGCTTTATGTGCAAAGTAAGAGAACAATAAAGGATGCTTTATGTGCAATTACATGATGAATAATTTCTTTTATGAAACTAATTATAGATTTAGAACACCTAAATGTAGTGTAATGCCTTGTTTTTCTATTCAAAGAAATGATGCAAAAAATAAAAAAATAAAAAAATTTGGTGATCGTTTGTTGCAAAATGGCACGTATGTAATTAGGGGGATTCCAGAGAACAGAGACGCAGACAGAGATGCAATGGGATTAAAGCCAGTGTGCATGTTACTGCAGACAGAAGAAAGGTGCGTGTGCCCACAGCTCCTCGCCCCTCGGCCTGGATAGCTCCTACGACAGCAGCACGCCGAGTCAACCCTGGATGGGAGCTTGCTTGCACTTGCAACACTGGGAAACACTACCGGCTTCACATATGCTCTTTGTACCTTCGCTTGACAGTGAGCACCACGCCCAGCAGGATAATGACAAACATGAGGATTCCCGCGATGACCCCCGCCATCTTCACTGTGCTGTCCACCTGCTTCTCCGGCTCCACGGCGTTGGAGTTCTGCGTGGAGGCGCCTGGAAACGGGACACAGACATCAAGAGACAGAGAGGGGGTATTTACCAAAGGCACTGCTGCTGTACAGACGTGCACCAATGCCACATACAAGAAAAAACGACAAAAAACACACAAATAAAAAACAAACATCTACAGTACAAGACGAGTCGAAAGTGTGGGGGTGGCATGCGAATTTGAGTTCCAGTCCACATCATCGCCACCACTGCAGAAGCACCACCCTGGGGTCACCACGCAGTCTCTCTGCAAGAGTGGCTCACGAGCAGCACTGCCACAGGTATGCCACAACAACCATGCCACCTCCCTTCAAACTGCCAAGCAAAGCACACATTTAGTGCTGTACGTCTTACACGGACGCATGACCCATGAGGTTCAAGAAATGCCAGGGACACTTTAGACTTGTGACAGTGACCCGTCACAATGCAAATGATGTCTAGCAAATTCAAAAAACGTTTCTAAGATAAAGAATCTACCTATATATTCAGAGTCTAGCCACTTGAAGTTAGGGGCAAGTAAAGCACTTTACAGTCTGTTTTAGTCTGGTTGTTACTATTACTATTCTACACAGTTAGCTAACAAAATCAGTACTGATCAATTTAAAACACATATGAACAACATTAACAAATAAATATAAAATAAAAGAACAAATGAATTGGGTTAAACGTGGTTAACATTCTTGCAGAAACTTGTGAAAAACCTTTTACGCAGTGCTGTCTGATTTACGAGCCTTGCACTGTACTTGTTCGTGATACAATGCGTGAGCACAGTACACAGGGCTGGAGATGTAAGAGATCTGAAAGGCATCACATGTGAAATAAATAATTCAATGAACATGAGAGGAAAGGTAGGGCAGCGTCCCACTTCATCACATCATCAGTGCAAAACATGACCGACTGAAAGCAACACTACTGACTCTGATGGGAGAACTTGCGCAATACGTTGCTATTAAAGAAAATGAAACATCAAGCTCTTGGCATCTTAGCCTGATCTTCAGTTACAAGCACATGGTCGAAACGACAGTGCCTCCAGAGACACAGCTGCAGGGGTTCCCCATGAGTGCAGTGGTTTCCGAATTCACCCACAGCTTTGAAGAGGCAACAAAGAAACACTGCCGCTCATCATCTCAGAGACAGAAATAAGAATAATTTCCATAGCAGCTGGATCCATTTCCAGCTTACCAGCTGCAGACTCTGAAAGGTAAACCAGTATTGTGCCCTGAATATTTGCTTCTTTGCATTCACAGACACACCGAAAGTAAATGCGTAGCAGAGCCTGCAAGATTGTAAAATGTTACACAGATCGACCTGCTGTGCAAAGGAAATCTTAATTCCATTCCTGCACAGGCACAATAAGAAACCAACTGGCCTAACAGTCCTGTTACCATCTGACAGACGGCCATATCTGAGGGAGAAAGCGAGCTCTGTGTGTTCAGCTAATCCATGTGCTTCACGGGTGCAAAGACTAACAAGTCAGAAGAAATGGGCATTAGAAAAGTCAACACTGCAAAGCCCTTGCTATAAAAACAGCTCAGAAGATTACAACCTCTTAGTTCTTTTAAACGGGGAGAGAACACAGTGAAATTAACATGACAAATAAATTAATAATTGCATTGATAGTGTAGGTATTAGAGGCAGACTCCTAATGAATGCACACTAAAGTGGATACAGTGCCTTGGCGAGCCATTAAAACCGCCTAATGCACCAACTTGTGTGTGTGGGCGTCTTCAATTCATTTTTAACTTCAGGCTGTTTTTTCAGCAGCACAAAGACAAGTGAGATAACCTTCTTAACTTTCAGCTTTAGAAGCTACAGGCCTTCCGATTTTCTTAAGTAATGCTCCAGAACGGTCTCAAAACCCTAATAGAGGTAATTTGCCTTAAAAGCACAGGGGTGAGATGTGTACAGATTAAGTCCTCTTTCCTCCCTTCCTCTTCCCCCTAAGGCTTTCTCTGCAGTATTTATAGTTGCACTGTCCAGCTAATGACTCAGAAGACACCTTGTTTTTTTTTTAACCATTCTGCTCATCCTTTTAACAATTTTTTTCAAGATTATCAAGACCACAAGAACAGCTAATAGGAAGCTTGGGTTGAAAAAATAAATAAATCTAGTGGGATACTCTTAAAGCATCTCTTCAGATTTCTGGAACAGCAGGAACACAAAGCTTTTGGATCCATTAGAAGCCAGATGAGGAAAATGAGGCTTTGAGCTGATTTCTCAAAGAGGTTTCACCCATTTACAGCTTGGCATCATTTGTCTCAATGGGAGAAAACGATACTGCAACTCTGAGCTCTAAATACTTTCTACCAGCCAGGTCACTCGCACTTCAACAAGTTCTGGACAGGCTCCAAAGACAGAGGTCCACTGTCATCCATCCATTAGAAGCAAGCACACATTTTTGTTTTAGTATCTTTGGCTCCCCATTTCACCTTTATCAGTAACACAGGAAAACCAGTTCTGCACTCCCTCCCACACCTCTACAGTCCTAGCAAACAGTCACAAAGAAAGGCAGGTCTTATAAAAGTTTTTCATCACTGTGCCTTGAGTACAGCAAAACAGATTAAAACAAGGGGAAATACTATATAAATAACTATATTATTCTGTGTTTGAATAATTTAAACTTAAGTTTCAACATTTCTGCAATTCTAGGTATGGGGCCATATTTAACTTGAGGTCCTTTTCAACCTGATTCTCTTCTGCAAATGTGACAGACTGTTGCAATCATCCACTTCTGATGCAACAACAAAACCCAGTTGTGCAGTTTAGGCTCGGGTTCGATAAGACAGGGGCAACACAGCCCAGCCCTAAGGCTGAGGCAGGCTGTGAACATTGCTGCTTCACTGTGCCTCCGAGACACCGGTCAACACCAGTGCCCTGGATGTACGATGCAAAAGCACACAACAAGCGTTCTTCGCTGAAATTGGAGGATTGTTGTCAACAATGCAGAAAGTGATAATCTCTTAAAACAAAAGTTGCAATACTTTCAACACAGCATGATCTGTACAAATGAAGCTCTTCTAAGAGCAGGAGCGTTCCTTTTGTTCATGTGCAGGGGAGTGCCAACCTTTATTTCTCCAGTGAATTTCACAACTTCAACTTTGACATTTGCCACTCTCTCCATGTAGCAATTTCTCCTCTTTTTAACAGCCCAGAGCAGGAAGACTGCGCAGAAGAGTCTAGATAATAATCTTACTGAGGAGCTGCCGGACAGCTCTAAAGGTCAGCTATGACAGTGTCTTTGTGCTGATCCAATGGAATTCAATTCCCAGTCTTCTCTCCCAAAACATCCTTTTATTTCTCAGGCTTGATTCTGTGTTACACCTGACAGACGGAAGAACTCCAGATGAGCAGAAAGGAGGTCCGAAGAGGACTTTGTGTGGTAGCTCGTGTCTGCACACAGGTTCAAAAGAACAGCAAAGTGAGACACGCAGACACTCAACACAGTACACATCAGATCCCCCCCACACACACACACACACACACACACCTCTAAGGCTCTAAGTTTAATTCTAAAAAGAACAGATTTATTTCTAAAGGGTCTATAATTGCTACATGATTTCTGGTCTGCGGTGTCCTGACTTTAAATTCCACATTCAAGTCTGCTGCAGCAATGTAACACAAAACTCTGGAGACAGACAAACCTATATTGATCCAAAGTCTTTCAGCTGGTTCAACTACAATAATAGCATGTGTCTGCTGATTATTAATCACACATAGTGTAAGCTCTCTTACGTCTAAATATGAACTGTTTTTTTTATTTTATTTTTTTCTTCAAATGGTCTCTGTAATTCCTATTTTAACAGTGGAGAATGGAGCTTAAGTAACAGAGCCTTCTAAAGACTGGAGTAATTTTGTGCATTCTCTACAAAGCCGGATCCAATCAAAGTCCTAAAGATTTTAATCTTCATGTGATTAAATGTGCACTATACATTTCCTCAGCTCTATATCACCGCAGCCCTTTTTTAATATTTGTGGTTGTTTGCTGTGAAGAATGAAAAAATCCTTTTATTTTCAGTTTGGAGAAAAAATGAAGTATCAGAAAGGAATTATTTCCAAAGCCCATGATATTAAAATTTAATCCCATGCACTATATGGAAAGAATTGATTTAACAGCCAGCAGCATTAATTGCCAGCATTTATGGTAATTTCCTGAATAGAATTTAAATGGAAACCACAATTCAAACTTTATTAAAAACACTTTTGCATGGCCAATTAATTCCAAGCTTGCAGTTGGATGGAGACGGTCTATCCTGTGCTTGAAAGGTACATCATGGTACATTGTTTAGGAGAAACTAAGCCTAGCACGGGGATTAGTACAGCACTGCTGAGTCTCCATAACAAGATTACGATCTCAGCACTGAAGCGGCAGGTCAGATCAGATAAGATTAGTATTACTTATCTAAGCATAAACAATGCAAATGCTAACGCAAATTAAAGCTGAGCTCAGACAGTAATGTACAACCAGAAGCCCAATCACAGGTCATTGGGAATAATGTGACTATGGGAAAATAAGAGCACATCTGCACAGACAGGCTGGAAACCTTTCAGTGGCTGCAGGGGATCAGTGTCACAAAGGACAAAAAAATACTCCCAGATTAAATATCTCCTGCTGCGTTCCTGAGTGCAAATGCTTGACATTTCCAAAGTTTAAACAGACAATGTTACAAAATAAACATGTTCAACAGCAGTGGTCCTTGATTCCTGTGACAACCCACAGTTCTACCCTGGAATACAGGGATCTTCTTCTGTTTTACCTCTGCAGAACCCTTTATGGAATAGAGCCCAGCACCTCTATGTCAATATCAACCGAGACTACAGTTTTAAAGTGTGCACTAAATACAACTATTCTGAAGCAAGCAAACAAGGAACATTTAAATTACCAAATGAAACCTCTAGCTAAGAGCTGATCACCTCTCTTTGATTTTTCTGGTTTCAGTGCAGGTTTTACAATGACCAGACTCCCCTCCCTTCATTCTTCAAGCCCAGACAGTGCTTTATTGAAATCCATTTCAGATTTCAGTCAGGACAATTTAACATCTTGTAACGGTGCATTTGGGCAGACAGAAAGGCGATGGAGTGAACAAGGTCAATCTCTGCATAAAATAGTCTTTGAAACAACAGACCAGACACCTACAATAGCACCAAGTGCATAGGACGCAAAACCAGGGACACTGTGCTGAACTAAGTCTCTCGCACTTCTGTGCAACTAGAATTGCCTGTCTGCCTTTTACCTCTGTAAAAGACCATAAGGACAAATCCTTTCATGTGTTTATTTCAAGGTAAAAGTCATTTCACACCTGCACAGTTTTGAAGAGGTCGCAAAAGCTAACTGAAAAGTGAGGATGACACTCAGTGAGGACAACCGCAGTGCGATTTTCTTCACCTCGAATGTAAGGTCCAGCCCTCCTTTGGTTGATGACCGGAACGGTTTTTACTGGGAGGGCTTGGGGGGGATTTGGGGCTTTTCAGTTGCTCAGCCATTCTGAGCACATCCAGCTACCGAACGATCACAAAACAAGGTCTTCTAAACAGCTGGCATTATCAAACACTGCAGGATAACAAATCCCAGGATGTCTGTAGCAAGTCACTGCTACAAAAAAAAATGTCCACCATACACTACAGAATTACATCTGTGATGTATGGGGGAAAAATTAAAGGATTGATGGGATTGGACTTCAAACGCAGACACAAGAACAGCTCTGCAATTCACTATTAATGAAAGAACACCTCACGTATGTAAACACAGAAAGAGATAGCACAGCTAATCCGAGCTTCTACTGCTGCAGTGTGCGCAGGGCTGGTGTGGGCAGCCATTCAGGTGTCATAGTCCAGCAGCGACAGACAGTGGGCAGCACGCTGTCAACGTACAGTACACAGGGCATGATGGGAATGTTGGCATGAATGAAGAAGAGTCCATTTGGGGGCGGGGGAGAGGGTAGATGATTGGTCACATGACCCTTTGTTTCTAATTTTCTAGCATCTTGCTCAGCTCTTATTAAAGTTCTCCTTTGACTCTTGCATATCTTAGGTCCTTTTCAGCTATCTCATATGCAAATTTGGTTCACTGAGCTTATCATCTTCTGATATCAATTTCTAGTATAAGTCATTCCAACCGAGGGCGGACTATTTAATAAAATCAGGCAGTGAGAAATCAGACCTGTGCACTAGGCATCCTTCTCTCCTCTCCAATCCACAAAAAAGAATGATGTTTACCTGGAATCTTAATGGACAGAAATATTTATTCTCATCTTTTTTATGCGAAGTTCCCTGCTTCCTGCAGCTATTTATTTTGATGAAGCACCAAAGGCCCAGGCGATTCAAAGACACATCATGTGGCTACATGTGCACATTTCCACTGCACTCTGGGGGCTCCCCCCCATGAGACTGTAATAAGGCACTGAGCAAAACGATAAGAAACGTAAAGCAGACACGGGGGAGGTAAAGGAATAATGATAAGAACAGCTGCACGTCGAGGGCAACAGGGTCTCCTAGATAGAACCATTGCAATCAAACTACGCAGTGTGTGGATCAGACACATGCAAGTCGATGCATCAAAGTGTTTAAATGAAAAAACAGAACCAAAAGAAAGAGGAAGAGAAACCGGGCTATGAAGTGGATAATCACCTTCACTGGGGATGACAAGTATGTACGGCGTAGTTATCGGTCCCCTACCTATTACCACTAAGAACAAGGTTTAAAGTTCCAGGTCAGCATGCATGAGAGAAAGAAACAAAGAAAAAAAAGTCTAAAAAACAAAATCCGACTCGCAGGTTTCTCACCCTGAATTGCACAAAATAACACAGCAGTTTCAAAAAAAGAAAGTAAAGAAAGGTTCAGACAATGTACCTGAAAACGTTTAGAAAACGGGAATGGCTATGGGCTGCATCAAAATAAGTAAATTAACTTAGCAGGGTTCCTGAGACTTCAGCACGTGAAAAACCAAAACAGAAATAATTGTAGCTGCCGGGCAAAATATTACAGTATTACTGGGCTAAGGAGGTAACAGAGCCTGACACACTGCGCATGGGAATGAGACTGGGATGCAAGCAGGAGAGGGGAGCTGTGCTTTGGTTCCGACAGGAAAACAATCAAACAAAAGCAAAAGGGGGAAAAAGGATGTTTGAACTTTGTGGCATGTGGTCAACACCCAAAAACTGGAGTCTGCAAAACACTGTCCAATAAGCACACAAGCTCACGTTTTATACCCACACAGGCATGACCGCTTTGACTTCAAGTGAAGGCACAACCTTTAGCGGGAGTTTTGGGGGTGCTGGTGGCAGAGGGACCCCCACTCTTAAAACTTTAACCACCAAATTGAAAAGCCACAAAGTTTAAAGCATGCCGCAGACACGCTGGCATACTGCAGGTGCCACACTCCCACATGGAGTACAACTCCACTTGTAACGGGGAAGAATAAGGAGAGGAGGCAGGGATGGAAATGGCTGACGGCAACAGAAAGAAAGAGAAAAAAACAGCCCATATATATTCATATGCATCATTCCTAAAAGATAAGCAAAATAATACCACGACTTCAGGTGGCTGCATGAAAAGCAGCAGCTTTATAACTAGCATCCATTACATTAATGGAGTTTCTGCTCCTATGCTGCCGACAGTACAGAGTTCTCATATAAATGATCTTTCAGGGGCAGAACAGAAAGAAAAAAAAAACAGAAAAAAGCTTCTGCACAGAAACCTTATCTAACAGCTGTAAATCATGCATGTAAACCAGCACTTAGAGTGTAGAGTTTGAGGACACTGATACCGAACAGGGCAAGGGCTTCGGATTGTCCTTCTAAGTGTCTGGTGTGGTCTAACGCTGCAGTTTTACTATTTATTATGACTGAATTACAGCCCTGGCCTCCTAAGGCAGTGGATGTAGTTCCCTTTCCTAACTCTGTCCCTCTCCCCTCACCCCTTCATAAAAAAAACATTTTTAAAAAACTATTCTATCACTTTCTCCAAGAAAAGTGAGATTTAGCCGTCAAGTGCGTTGATAAACAGCGCAGCAGTGACTTTTTCACTAAGCCAGAAGACCATTTCGGTAAAAATGACCTCATAACCCCCATAAATGGGACTCTGACACTTTAATCTGTTAATTCAGTCATTTATTGCTTCTTGCCCTTTAAATGATTATGGCGAAACATGCAGAAATGTCACAGGAAATGCCATTACCTTTAGTAGCCAGTCGGACACAGTTGATTTTTATTTCCTGAAATGACAAGAAACACAAGGCATCATTTTGTCAAACCTGTTTTAGATCTTTTATCTATTACTAGTACAATGATATTTCAGGACTAGGACTTTGATTGCAAATGTGATAACTTCAAATGACAACACTGATAATACAGCACCCATAAGGATGGAAAAATAATTAAAACTGCTCTTTGTGTAATGTTAAAACAAGGACGTTATATCCTCGTTAAAGATGTCTTAAATCATTATTAGAGTAACCCAAAAGGGAAAGGACTAAAAGAGGGTTTAAGGCAGTAGCTTACTGGATTTTCCTGTAATGCTATAGAAAGTCAGGCAAAGGGTGAAACAGTGAGACAGTGAAATTACTGACAAAGCTGAAGGAGAAATTGAACAGGAGACAAGGAGTCCCAATCTGATAGAAAAGCTGCAGCCCCACAGACACAGACACAGACACAGTCTTCTCCCTACACCCAGCACACAGGTCACCCCACAATGGCCAGTGCTCTCAGCCTCGATCAGCAGCAGCACATCTTATCAACAGCACCCACTCATTTTAATGCAGGATCAGCCTGGTCTCGGATGTAGCTCCATTGTTTAAGCAGTAGTGGATACCTTAAATCACTTCCAAACCTAAATAATATGGTTAGCACATCTTCATCAGCAACTTTTGGGCTTATAGCTTTCTGACAGCCTGCAATTAGCAACATGTTTTCCAAAAGATATCTGGTGTTCTTTCCACGGGCTCTGTGTTGTCAAGCAGTTACAAACAGCTGGGGTATCTTGGGAGGCTTTCTGTTTCCTCCTATCTTTTTCCTAGATAAATACTTTTCTGAGCTTTTTTCACACAAGAAAATAATGAATGTCAGTGCTCAGTTTGTGTTCTCAGAGACATTAAGATCTAAATCCTTTAGCTGTCAGGCACCCCTGTCATCCAGAGCGTATCCTGCTATATCCTGTGATAAACAGCTTTGGAATTGCTAGTCAAATATTCTATATCCCAGGACTCCATGTGCAGAAACCTGCACAGCCTGTTCCAAATACTAGTAACAGAATTAAGCAGCTGCCTGATGGAATCATCTTTGCCACAAACCTCAAGCAGATAAATATGTGTCCTCTCTACACATTACGTGGGTAGCCAACTGACACTCAATAGGGCTCAAATCTTTTTTGAGACATAAAAACTTAAAGAACAGAGAACAATGGATAATAAGCATAGAGAAGCAACATTATCAAACAACAGGCACATGGTTAATAAGAAAAGGAACATTACCCAGCATCTTTAATCCAATTCTTAATTAATTCAAACATTGTAGGCTCAGTGAGCAATGCTGACCTGCAGATAATACATTTATCCAGGGCTACAGAGCTGCAAGATGCCTGAAGCTATCCTATAAGGTAATACAGTATGCAGTATATCTGGAATGTAGACAATCACCATGTCTTGTCTTAACAGCAATGCTTATACTACTGTTTACACAGGTATTCTGCACAACGCAATAAATATTAGAAACAAATGTTAGGCTGTAGAGTGAAGCTCCCTGATCGATTACTGTAGTTTCATTTCAGTGACATCCTTATCCGGTTTCAGGATGCTACACGATTCATTTAAATGAAACTGGAGATGGATTTCTACTCCACACTGCAGGGGCTTTTCTATATGAGACTAACTCTACACACCACACTAACCCCACACACTCCACACCCAGCAAGACCTTTCCAGAAACACGGCTACAGCTTTTGAAACTAGTTACCCGGCCTTCCAGTGCTGTGCTGCCATTTTTATTCTGGGACTCGGAGGGGTTCTTTAAACTAACCAGAGGGCTGGAGGAAGACATAACCATCCTGCTCGCTGTGTTGTATATAATCCCACAGCCAGTACTGGTTGAACTGGGAACAAACCTTATTAAGTGTATAATTGTTTTGATACCTCACTTATAAAAGAAGAGTTTAGAGTTGCCAAGGAAACCTAATCAGCAATTCTCGGAGAGGAGGGAGGAGTATGAATAGTATTCACTGGACATGCACTAGGGTGACCGGCTGGAATCGCACCCACCACCCTGGAGACGTGAGGCAGTAGTGGCCAACTTGAACGCACCTTAGCATTAGTCCACTCAAGCTGTAACATGACACCTATGTGACTCACTGCCCAAATCGCTCAGAGACTCTGTCACCGTGGACACTTTGAAAGGTTTTATTGTGTCATTTAGATTTGTTCTTGGCTTCACTGATCATGAGAACATTAAAACGGTTACAAATCAGAGGAGGTCATACAGTCCGTCCAGCCCATTTGATACCTAGCATCTAATTGATCCCAGGACCATATCCAGCTGTTTCACGAAAGAAACCAGGGTATCATCTTCAGCAACATGGCTGGATCGCTTGCTCCCAGTCAGTCTTTCTGGCTGTTTTCCACACTTTTCTTTCCGTTTTTGTTGTGTATTTAATATGCGTTCTATAGGACTGACCTCTGTGTTTCTTGTTGCTGTAATTATTATGGTTCCTGTTCAAGTCATAAATTCTCTAGTGTGGCTGTAACACGGCAAAGACCTCCGATTGTTTTGCTTTTCCAGCGGGTGGACACTGTGTCCATCACGATTAAATGATCATGTTCCACTGCTACCCTGGGATTGACATGCCCACCCCAGTTCAGTTGGGACAACAGCATGCCTCCTGCCTCGGACTCAGCACTGTAACTACCATCCCTCCGTTTGCTTATTGAAGAGATGCAAGGCCCTGTAAGGCTGTGCTGTGAATAATGTGAGTTATTGAATTGCAGGCTCTGTCACTTGATGTTCACTATGACTTACTATTATAAAGGCACAGTGGAGTATTGTAAAGCACAGCAATATCACGGGCAAGTGAAGAACACAGTATAAGCATGGCCAGATTAGAGGACAGCTTTGAATAGATCATGGGAAATGACAGGAAAAATCCCTCCAGCAGTTCTGCCTACCAGCAACCACTCCTTCTCACAGCCCAAACCACCGAGATTTCCACTCTTTTCACTTCTGCACGGGCAGAAGCCATCAGCGAACTGCAGCCACAGGTGCCCGTCTCTCTCCGAGGGGCACTGGGCTCCAGTTCGAGCCAGGGTGCAGGCCCGGACCGGCGCTCTCAGAGCGACCCGTGTCAGTCCGCGGGAGGCCGGATCACGGCTGGCGGGGCTGCGCTCCCTGGTGTCACGGCTCAGTGAGCCTTCATCCTCTCCCCTCAGCCGTACAGCGGAACTAAAACTGAGTGAGCAGGACAGGAGAGGTAGTGAGGCAGTCTGCATGAGTTAGCTCCTCCTGACAGTCTGTCAGACGAGACAGGCATAAAGGACTTCAGATAGCGGCACTACATCACTTACGAGAAGTGACAGCCGAGGTTTGACTTCTGGCCCTGCCGTCTAATAAAGCGTTGACGGACTGTCAAGCAGTTTTGAGGCAGATTCCTGAGGTGCTCCAGGAAACGTGGACGTCAGTTAAAAATCAAGCTACCTCTTCTGTTATTAAACGCGACAGGTTTGGTGGGATCAAGCAACAACACACCCAGGTTCGTTAAATTGCTAATTGTTCATCTGATATTACACGTACTACAACCACATTCAAGCCAGCATTATCCACGTCTGCATCTCGAGTGCTCTTTCATAAAGACGAAGGAAGTCCCCCTGTTTCTGTATCTGTTTCCTACGCCAGAACATAGAGGCCTGAACGAATTTTAAATGAGAAGGCTGACACACTGAATCCCTCGAATACTGCAAAACAAAACACCATCATAAGAACGATCACACAAATAATATAAGCCACACACTTTACAAAAGGAAGCTGTATTGCAATTGCATTTTTGTATTATAGCCTCTACCTTCCCAGAATCACAGAGATGCTGCTGAAACAAACACCTCAGGGAGATTCAGTTATTATGTGGTGTTGATGGTTTGTTTTTGCAGGAGAGCAAACCACCCCCCACCCCCCTACATACGCACACATTCCTCTTCAATCTCCTCCACCGTGAGCTTCCTTCCAGTTCTGAAAACAGAGCTGGTGCAGAGCCCTGCACTCATACTGGGCTCTTCTGCAGAAATGAGGCTGAGAATTCGGCACAGTTTAATAACCAAAGGTGGGAAGGCAGTCTGCTGAAGACAGTCAAAGCAAGGATGATGATAAAAGCAGAGAAGGCATAAATGAAAAGCTAAGAACCGAGGGCTGTGATTGTACCACCACTCCAGTGTCCCTTTCATCACACATCTTTAGGAAGCCTGGCTGGTCTGTTGTTTCAGGACCTCCTTCACTGGTGCCGCCTGTGTCAGATGGTGGGATGCAATATTGCCCTCGGCATGAGAAACTGGGAGAAACAGGTTTGTCTAGAAGTACAGGTGAGCTGCGGAGAGCCTATCAAACCTGTTCCTATCAAAATAAAGTCCATTAATATCCATGGAGGTCCAAGTTATTACTGCTTTATGGACTTTAGCTGTAGAAAATCTTGGGGTGCCTCCAGCGGCTTGGTGATTTAGGGGTGGGCAGGACAACCTCGTCACAACGGGACAGCGACCGGCTGAAGTCTCCTTCCACCGCAGCCCACAGAGAGGCCAAACACCGCCCCCGGGCAGAATGAGCTCGAAATCGGCCCGTTTCTGTTCCCGTGTCCGGGTGCCATTCGGACGCTGTGGCTTTATTTGTACTGCTGCAGCCACCAGCTGGGCTCTGCGAACTGTGGCGGTGACAGTCGGGCCCATCCACCGAGACGCCACCTGCTCGCCGTTCCCCGCGGTCTACGGCTGCTACGCACTGATGCCATTAAGTGTTCAGGAGCTTTCATGCCACGCTTCCATCTTACTTAATTTATTTTCCAAGATATTAATTATCAGACACTGACGTCTTTGGAATACGGGGAGTGTTTGAATGCTTCCTGTATGTCAGGCTTCAAAAGGCTAAAAGATTCCCCTCCAGCGCCCAGCTCCCAGTAATGCGCCTCTCCTTCTCCGCATTCTCCTGCCAATTTACTTTACTAAGGAGAAGCTGCAATTTGCAAAGCACTGTACAGTAGGATGCTAATTAACCGTTGTCAGGAACAAGTAACAGTAAAAGTTAATGAACATAATTCTAATTTATGGCACTCAAGCTTTCAAAACCAGGGCAATAAATAATAGCTGCCTAGCACACTAACAGATGCAAGTCATTTATGAGAGTTAGTGCCCATCTTGCTGCTGGAAAGAGCAACATGAGCAGAATACAAAGGCCTCTGTCGTAAAGGGGCACCTGGCAGAGGCGCCAGGGGACCCCAGGCCTGTGCTGTTAATCGACCAAGCTGAGAGGTGCATCTCGGATACCAGTCAAACAGATGGGAGCAGGAAGCAGAAGCTGCCGAGTGCCCAATTTTGGAGAATTTGTGAAAAACTGAGCAAGTGAACAAAGAAGTGAATAAATAAGACCGTCATCAAATGGCTAAAAGCCATAAAAGAAATGCATGTGGCAGCCATTGTGCAGGGACTGTTGAACATGTGTGGTGTAATTGGTCTACAGCTCCAGCATTATGGCAGTGCTGTAAGAAGGGGTTTTTGATGATGAAACAACTGGAATCTTTCCAAAGAAAGCCAGGGGTACAGATTACTGTATATTCAACGATGCCTACCCAGGCTCTCCCTGGGGCCTTGTCAGCATCCTGGAGCAGGACAGCGGGACACAGGAAGAGCACCTGGAACACACTATGGAGAAACACCTCTCTCCACTGCACTGAGTCCGAGCCTCACTCCTAATATGCGGTTGTAATCCTTTTTAATTAGGCTGTATCCCCACCCACTCTCCAGCCCTCCCCTGTCCACGGCAATTCACTTAATGATATTCCTCCAGCCTTGAAGGCGATTGTATTCATACCAGAATATCTGCTGAGACTATGCTTAAAATAGCCTAGGAAAAGTGCCACAGAGGTGCAACAGCAAATGAGAAGATTTAATAATACATTAAATATATAATTGCTTCTCAAAAAATAATACAATACCACTTGCATAAACCATATAACAGAGCTGGTGTCTCTACAGGAGCAGAGCCTCTAATGAGTTGGGGCAGTGAGCTCGAAACAGGCAGCAGCACATGAGAAGCCT